CAAAACCCTTCTCCTCGAAGCCCCAACTTGTGCCTGAGCCTGGAGGCCGCGCCGACCTCGTCCACCACGGCCTGTTGTACAGGTCTTGCGGGTAGGTCGTGCCTGGAGGAAATGGCCCAGAGCCCCTCCCAGTTCCGGGACCCCAAGACCCATGGGGGGTGAGAAAAATGTTTGGTTTTGCGTGTGCGCTCCTTGGCCAACTTGCCCGGTTTGCATTCCCGTGTTTTTCTAGACAGTCCATCTTGGAAGTAATCTACCCTTGGCAAATGAGTGGATAGAAGTGCTTGTTACCTAGCTTAAAACACAAGGTGGCAGCACCGTAGGACTGGGAAAGCAAGGTACGTCTGGGCGCAGACTTCCTGAGCTAGCGGGATGCCGGGCGCCTGCTGCTGTTCCCAGCGTGCCCCGCCCTCCAGCGCCTCGACCGTTCCCAGCATGCCTTGCCCTCAAGCTCCTAGAGCGGTTCCCAGCCTTTCTTCCCGCAAGTTCCTCTGCCTGTTCCCAGTATACTCTGCCCTCAAGTGTCTCCACCTGTTCCCAGCATACCTTGCGCTCGATCGCCTTGACCAGTTCCCAGCATGCCCTGCCCTCGAGCGCCTCGGCCTGTTCCAGCATTCCTCTCCCTGGAGAGCCTCGGCCTGTTCCCAGCACGCCTCGCCTTCAAGCACCTAGAGCTGTCCCCAGCATTCCCTGCCCACAAGTGCCTCGACTGTTACCGGTATACCCTGCTCTCAAGTGTTTCCACCCGTTCCCAGCACGCTGCGCCCTTGAGCGCCTTGGCCTGTTCCCGGCCTGCCTTTCCCTCCGCGCCTTGACCTGCTCCCAGCATGCCTGGCCCTCGAGCGCCTCGACCCATCCCCGGGTTGCCTCGCCCTCGAGCGCCTAGGGCTGTTCCCAGCATGCCCTGCCCACAGCGCCCCGACCCGTTCCCTGCCTACCCTGCCCTCACGTGTCTCCTCCAGCCTGTTTCCAGCGTGCCGCGCCCTTGCGTGACTCCCCAGTTCCCGGCCTTCCTTTCCCTCAGCGCCTTGACCTGTTCCCAGCATGCCTGGTCCTCAAGCGCCTAGAGCTGTTCCCGGCATTCCCTGTTCCCCAGGGGCCCCGCCCACGAGCGCCTGTAGGCCAGGGCGCCATCTTCCTCTGAGAGCCCCTCCACTCCCATCCCAGCACGGGGTGCCCAGTAGATGTCTGTTGGTCCAAATTCGGGTGGTGATGTCTAAATCCAGGCAAGCCCTGGGATTCGTCATTGTGGCGGAGACAAAGCATTATGGGATAAGCCAAGGAGAATTTAACCTGCCTCTTCAGGGAGAAAGCAAGAAAACTCAGCACTTCCCTTGCAAAGTTGAGGACTGAAATTCAGTCGACAAGTGTTTCTTGCTTTCCTTGACAGACCTACTCAGATGCTCGGCGATTGTGATGTGTGTGCACTCCAACTCATATTCATGCGCTCTTACATGTTGGACGCCTACAAGTGCCGGGGGGGGGCGGGGTGTATTGGAAAGTAAAGTTGAATTTTACTATTGTTCTTTGCAGCCATCTTGGTCAACAATATAATTTCCACACAAGGAGGAGCTGGATGTGCTGGACTGTTAGTTGCCCAACCGTGTCACATCATCACTTAGGTGCCCCAAAAGATGCCAGCTTTGCCCCAGATTCATCTGTGGCCTCTTTGTGCTCTCTGTACCTTGTTCTTTACAGGTAACAGGAGGGAAAAGAAAAATCTCTACCCTGGGACAAAATTCAAGGCTCACTTGTTCTCCTGAGTCTCCCGCTCTGGGTCAGCAAGTCTTCCCAATTGAAGGACTGCGGTTGGCCACACAGCCAGGCCAGGGTCATTTGTTTTCAAGATGCTTTGGGGAGACTGAAAAAAAGCAAATACGTAAAGTAAACCACCAAGGTGTTGGTTTTTTTCCTTTTTCCATCCTTTTTTTTAATTTTGAGTCAAGTCTCACTTTGTCACCCAGGCCGGAGTTCAGTGGCACGATCCTGGCTCACTGCAGCCTCAGCCCCCTGGCTCAGGTGATCCTTCTGCCTCAGCCTCCCAAGTAGCTGGCACTGTAGACACATGCCACCATGTCCAGCTAATTTTTTTATTTTTTTATTTTTATTTTTTTGTAGGTATGATGTCTCACTTTGTTGCCCAGGCTGGTCTCGAACTCCTGGGCTCAAGTGATCCTTCCACCTCGGCCTCGAACCAAAGTGCTAGGATTACAGGCACGAGCCATCATGCCCATCCCATCAGTTTTTACTGTACAGAAATCACAATTTTCCCTTGAAGGACAGCTTCTCACACGGTGCAGGAACTGAGGTATCTCCCTGCCTCACAGAGTTCAAAGCAACTAGGAAATACCGGCCCTAACCTGCAGACTTGGTGTGTGTTCCTTTCCCAGCTGCGTTGGCAGAGATCACAGAGATGGTGGCACAGCTGCATGGTACGATGATCAAGATGGAGAATTTCCAGAAGCTGCACGAACTCAAGAAAGATTTGATTGGCATCGACAATCTTGTGATTCCAGGAAGGGTAAGCCTCAGCAGTCTCTGTGTGCTTGGAAGGTGCAGCCAGAAAGGAGACATTTAAGGGCCTTAGGTCTGAGCCTTTTGAATACAGACACTCCCGAGGTAAAATGCCCTCCTTCTGCCTGGGAGGCAGCTGGGTAAGTGTCGCTCAGCTCAGAATCATTGCGTTAGGAGGAGACTGAATGATCCTCTGGCCTCATATTCTAATTTTTCTCCTTGTAGGTTGAATTGCTTATTTACTTTTCTACTACCATACTCCAGAGAGGATTTGCAGTAGCTTATTTTATTTTTTAATATTTAGTTAAAATAGAAGATCAAAAAAAAAGAATTGCATAAAATAGTGACAGCCACAGATCATGCATGAATGAATGCCAGACATTCCCATGCAAATATGGAAAGAATTTTTTTTAATGCAGTTTTCTGTACATAATTTTTTGGAGTCAGGGTTTCACGCTGTTGCCCAAGTTGGAGTGCAGTGGCACGATCTTGGCTCACTGCAGCCTTGACCACCTGGGTTCAGGAGCTCCTCCCACCTCAGCCTCTTGAGTAGCTGGGACTATAGACGTGTGCCACCACACTTGGCTAATTTTTTTATTTTATTTTTTTGTGTGTGTAGAGATGAGGACTTGCTATATTGCCTAAGCTGGTTTTGAACTCCTGGACTCAAGTAGTCTTCCTGCCTCAGCCTCCCAAAGTGCTGTTATTACAGTTGTGAGCCACCACGCCCCACCATAATTTAATTTTAATTCAAAATTTAAATAACATTTTAGCCAGGAAGCAATCCTGAGAGAGAGGAAAGTTTTCTTACACTATTTGCCTTCAACTCCCAGCCCCTGCCTTAGATGAGGGGATTCCGTTACACACACTCCTTCCAGGCCAACAACATTACAGAAATAGGAAAGAAGCCATTTTTCACCTCCCCTCCTAGGAAGCAGGCGTCGGTTGTCCCCAAATCAAAAATACTCAGTTGCTACATCTCATCGATCTCTCCTTGGGCTCTCAACCCTCTCGCTCCCCAATTTCAAACCCCACGCCTCCATGGTCGGGAGACAATGGCAGCTTCTTTGGTCTGCTGTGGACTGGGAGCAGCTGTGTGGACTGGATCCAGGGTGTCAGGGATTCCTAGTCTTACCTGACAGGTGGCTCCTGGAAATTGTAAATCTCTGTAACTCAGGGCAGATGAGGGAAGCACCCTGTGCATCTGAGTATTTCTGACAGGAAGCCTAATTACAAAACTGACCGGAAAGCAAGTTGTGAGAGGTTGTCAGAAGCGTTGTGTGGTAAGTTCTGGGTGGAAATCAAAGCTGGGATTTGCTCCAGCTCTGCTGGTGAGAAAACCCTGCCGGGACCTGGCGCATACGCTACCTCCCTTACCCTTCTACGGGGAACCCTTAGGAAAACCCTGTGGAATTGGCACGATTTTCTAACTTTGAATGTTACGGCATATTTAGCATACTGTGTTGCATGGTGAACAGCCATCTGTAAAGAATTTCTTATTCTGTGGCTGTGTCTTCCATGTTCAATGGAGAGAGGATTGGGTTCACAGTCTGGCTCTACCAGAGCTGGGATCTTTCACCTTCTGGAGCTTTCCCTCCCTTCTGTCGCATGGGGATCATGTCCTCTCCCTCATGGGTCATTAAGATCAGTGAGATGTCATACATAAAAATGATAGATTTTCTCTTCCTTCTCCCCGACCTCCACTCGTTTGAAGAGATGAAGAATGCATTTATCATAACGTCATCAGTCACTTCGCTCAGCACTGTAGAAAGCGTCGTAAACATTATGCCAGATATTGGCTCTGTCACCCAGAAGCTGCAGTTTTTACATCATTTTACTCCTTGGTTTCCTCACCTAAAAATGGGAATCATGGTACTGAACTTATAGGCTCGCATGTGGCACTAATGTGGGCACTCGGGATGGGTTGCCCTGTGCGCATGTTCATAAGGGGAGGCCCCGATTATTTACAAAGGTGAAGTTGAAATTGGGGTGCTGTTTCCAAGCCTCAGATCTGCCTTTCTTCCTCGTTCTCTCGCTCAATCATGCTGCCCCCCAGCCACTCACTGTTTCAAGTCAATACTGAGAGGAATGGGAAGGTGGGGGCAGGGATCCCCAGAGGAGCAAGTTCTGGATCTGGATAGTAGTGATGATTATGCAACATTGTGATTGCACCGAAGGTCACAAGTGTAAATGTTCTGTGCATTTTACCACAATTTCAAAATTAACCTTTTTTTCACTGTTTTTTTTGAGTCAGGGTCTCTGTCGCCCAGGCTGGAGTACAGTGGCACAATCCTGACTCACCACAGCCTCAGCTTTCCGGGCTCAGGTGATCCTTCTGCCTCAACCTCCTGAGTGGCCGGGACTACGGGCACATGCCACCATGCCTGGCTAATTGTTTTATTTTTTATTTTAGAGACAGGGACTTGCTATGTTGCCTAGGCTGGGCTCAAACAATCCTCCCACCTTGGCTTCCCAAAGTGCTGGGATTACAGGCATGAGTCACCACACCCAGACCTTTTTTTTGGTTTTTAAAGTGTTAGTGCTCATGCCATCCTTGCTTTCAAGAGTTTACTCAGGAAAAATATAACTTGGGAAACAGTGTTCCTTAGACATATTTGCCTCTTGCTCTATTAGCCTAAAACAGTTACTGCTTTTTTACAAAGCAGTCTTAAATTGTGGAGATTTCTGTAGCCACAGAACTCATATATGGCTTCTCTGTCCTGCAGGGTCCCCTGTGGCCACTCTGTATAGCCTTTTTCTTTGAGAACTGGCCGGGGCCCTGTGACCTCCCTTGCCATGGGAGCCCATGCACCCTGGGGTCACATGCATCTTCCCTGCCGCCCTCTGAGAGACTGAGCATACTCTTTCACCCAAGTACCAGTTTCCTCTCTGTTAGGGTATGGACAGGGTGAGGGTGGCATGCTGGAGGGGTGAAGAGGGGAGGGGAGGCATGGCACCAGTAACTCAGAGATCCAAGTAAATGCAAAGAATTGCAACATACAAAAAGGTTAAAAAAGAAGTTTATTTAAAAGTAAATTAGAGAAGAGAAGGAAGAAAGAAGATTCACCTCCCCACAGTCGGGGAGGGGGCCAAAGCCAGGAAGTATGGCGACAGCCATAGCTCAAAGAGCTCATGGCCACACCAGAGTCTAGCAAGGCAATGGCCACTGGTTGCTTGTGGTTGAGTCCTTTTAACCATTCCCCTTGATGGGGGAAGATCATTAAGGTGATTGGGTTGTGGTCTGCTCCACATCATCACAAAGGGGCAGGCAAGTGCTTTTGGTGAGGGACAGCAGATGGGTGACTTAGTCACACTATGGCTGCCATGGTGGGGCTTATCTGTGTCACATAGGTCACAAAGGGCTGATTAGGTTAACCCTGGGGGGTTTCCTGCAAGAAACTTGTTAGACATTGGCAATTCACAAACTCAGACATTTGCAACTCACAAACTCCTATGACTTTGGCCAGCCAAAGGGTGATCTTTGATCTTCAGCCTTGACAAGGAACCTAAAAGTTTACTAGAGATTATTATGCTAAACCACGAATGGTTGGGCTCTCCTGGTCTTGCATCTGAAGGAGATTTGCTGAGGGGGGTGGGATAGGCTGCTGCTTGTTTTGCAGTAGAATGTCTGAATGCTTTCTAATGGTTATGCTGAGGCAAAAAGACTAAACCCTTTCACTCTCTGGTTAGGGGCATTGCCAGTGGTCCCTGCCCCGTGGGTTCCTGGGAAGAAACACCTAGAGGCAGCTAAGCACAGTGCCCAGGGCATAGCAGGCACATAGTGAGCCAGAACTGGGTGCTCCAATTTCCATGTGTGAGGGACCCAGGCACGGGGAAGCCAGGTGAGCCCCCCGGGTCCATCTCTCCGCAGGAGTTCATCCGCCTGGGCAGCCTCAGCAAGCTCTCGGGGAAGGGGCTCCAACAGCGCATGTTTTTCCTGGTAAGTGGTGAGGGCAGCTCATCTTTGCGAGGATCTGGGATCCATGTGACCCAGGGGACAGCAAGGCTCTCGGGGCCCGGCCACCCAGTGGGGAGCTGGGGGCAGGGGAGCAGCCAGAGGTGCTGAGCCTTGAGCTGTTGGGAGCAGCAAGCTTTAATGAAAGACGAGGGAATCCCATCAGCTTGCTGGTTTCACTTCCACCCCCCTTCTCCTGGTCCCTCTAGTTCAACGACGTTTTGCTGTACACGAGCAGGGGGCTGACGGCCTCGAACCAGTTTAAGGTCCACGGGCAGCTCCCGCTCTATGGCATGACGGTGAGTGTGCACGAAGTGTGCGTGTGTGACGGTGAGTGTGCCCCGAGGGTGAGTGTGGCGTGGGCTTGAGGTTGGGCCTGTCCTCTGGGGGGCTGCAGGTGCAGGCAGGCTCAGGGAGCATGAGCTACTGACACAGGCAGGCAGGAGGAAAAGGGGGAGACTTGACAGGAAGGGTCAGCACGACAGGGGCCACCTCGGGGGAACACGTGGGCTCAAAGGCCAGCGACCTTCTACCCTCCCGCCCTTTCATGAAAAGAACACGCCTTCTGGGGCTCCTGGAGCAGAGACGCCACTGCTTCTGCACATGGGCTGCACGGTATGCTCCTTCTAGAACCAGGCGAAGAGGCAAGTTGACACGGGTGGTGTGGCGTGAACTCGCCTCTTACCACCCTGAGCCCGGCGCCAGGCCCTGGAGGACAGCTGTCGCTCCATGTGCCGAGTCACAGAGCCCACTCTCAGGAGCTGGACCAGCGGGCAGCCCTGTCCTCCCCAGGATGGGTCTGGCAGGCTCCACCCCGTGCGCCCTGGGCAGCAGGTCGCCAGCACGGGAGTGTCACCCTGGCTTCTGCCAGCGCTGTCCCCAGCGGCTAGAGGGGGACGTTTCTGGGCTCCACCAAAAACTTCTGTGTGTTTCAACCTTCCTGGAATCAGCCTTTCCGGTTTTGGTTTTCCGGACTCAGAGCCCCCGCTCCTTCTGCGGGGTCCCTGGGTCTCCCAGCCCTGCTTGGCGGCACCGCTTCTGTTCGGGGCCGCCCGACCTCGAGCTTGGGAATGTGTGAAAGGGCCTCAGGGTCACCTCCCGGCCTCTCGCCCGCAGATCGAGGAGAGCGAAGACGAGTGGGGAGTGCCCCACTGCCTCACACTCCGGGGCCCGCGGCAGTCCATCGTCGTGGCCGCCAGGTAACCGGGGCCCACCCTCCGACCCGCTTCCCTTGGCCCGGCTGTGCCTGGCCCCTGACGCCAGCTCTGTCCCCAGCTCTCGGTCTGAGATGGAGAAGTGGGTGGAGGACATCCAGATGGCCATCGACCTGGCCGAGAAGAGCAGCAGCCCTGCCCCCGAGCTCCTGGCCGGCAGCCCCCCAGACAACAGTGAGTGTGGGGGGCTCTTGGGCAGGGTGGGCTGGCTTATGGAGGGGAAAGTCGTCACCTCCAAAACCAGCCAAGCCTTGGCTCTGGTCTGCGTTTGTGTTTAAAGCCAAAAACCATATAAGTTCTTTTTCTTAAAAGTTTTACTGGTTTTACCCAGGCATGGTGGCTCACACCTATAATCCCAGCTCTTTGGAAGGCCAAGGCGGGAGGACTGCTTGAGCCCAGGAGTTTGAGAGCAGCCTGGGCAACATAGCAAGACCTCATCTCTACAAAAAACAATCAAGAAGTTAGCTGGGTGTGGTGGTGCATGTAGTCCCAGCTACAGGGAGGCTGAGGCAGGAGGATCACCTGAGCCCAGGAGGTCAAGGCTGCGGCGAGCCTTGACTGTGCTTCTGCACTCCAGCCTGGGCAACAGAGTGAGACCCTGCTCAGAAAACAGTAATAATAAAGTAAAGTCCAGAAAACAGCATGTGGGGACAGGGGAGCCATCTTTTCTGGGCTGGCGTTGCCACTTGTCACACAGTGTCCCCAGGGCGAGGGCTGCAGGTGAAGCACCCAGGCGTCCAAAGAGCCCCTGGCTGGGACAGGTGGGACGCCCCTTGGGTGCGTGTGGCCGCTGTGAGCCCCCAGTCGTCCGTTCCTCCCTTAGCGCCTCAGGGTGTCCGGGAAAGTCTTCCTGGGAGGGAAGCTCAGAAGCTCTCCTTTCACCCCACACCACAGAGTCCCCCGATGAGGCCACCACAGGTGACCAGGAGTCGGAGGACGACCTGAGCGCTTCACGCACGTCGCTGGAGCGCCAGGCCCCACACCGTGGCAACACGATGGTGCACGTGTGCTGGCACCGCAACACCAGCGTCTCCATGGTGGACTTCAGCCTCGCTGTGGAGGTACTGTGGGGGCGTCGCGGGTCGGGGCGGCTCATCTCCACCTTGCGCCGGCCCGGGGGGACCCACGCAGGCTTCTGGCAGGGCTCGGGGGAGCTGGCTCCTGCGCCTGCCCTCGCCTGCCCGCCCGCCCAGGCCCTGGAACCAGGGCGGATCAAAGCCTGGGCTCTCTTCTGAGCGCCCCACGGTCGTCCTCACAGACGGACAAATGGCTCTTGGTTTCCAGTGCCCGCCTGCCACCTGGAAACTTGTTCTGTGCCCTTTCTTCTCGTGGTGTTAGCTCAGAAAACGGGTACCCAGGCACAGTTGACAGATGGCTCCAGGCACCACGGGAATCAAGGGATGGGGAGGGAGTCAAGTCTGCAAGATAGTGCTCTCGCTCAGGGCGGGACCCGCTCAGGGCGGACCCGAGAAAGGACAGGGGGCAAGGCCTCTCTAGGTGGGCCCTGGAACGTGCTCATTTGAGGTGGGACCTGGGAAGGGACACAGGATGGGGCCGCTCCAGGTGTGCCCTGGGAGTCGTCACTGTGGAGGGGTGGAAAGGGATGATCCCTCTCCTCTCCGTCATAGGGTCATGGCAGACACTCCCATGACAAAAGACAGGGTGACAAGAGAAAGGCACAGCAAGGTGATTTAAATAGTTTTACGTGGCATGGAAGCCTTCGGAATGAACACCCAAAGATCTGAGGGGAACTGTCGTGTGTAGGCTAGCTCCATGAAGGGTGGACAGCCGTCAGACCTGGGATTGGACCAAGAGGAGCGCATACTGGTAGGCTGAGGCCTGTGTGCTCCTACCCTCCTCGGTCTCTCTTGTCGCTCTCTTCCTCCCAGGTGTGGGGCAGGACTCTCTGGAATGGGGGTCTTACAACCTACTGTGGGACACGGGTAGGCTAGAGTTCTTTGTGGCCAGCTCCTAAGCAGAAAGTTGGAAAGGAAGGCGGGGTTCGTGTTTTTTGGTTTTATGGCGGGGTCTGGTGTCTGTGCCCCACCTGGGGGAAGAGAGACTCTCACGTCTGTGGCCAGCCTCTGGGGAGAGTGAGGGGCGCGAGACAAGAGACAGGGCGGGTCAGATAAACCAAGGCCTTCGCTTTGGAGTGGAGTGTCATTTTTTGCGCCCAACACCTGGAAGGTGGCTTTCATGATGGGTCTCTCCTGCATCCTGACTGAGACGACTTCCAGCCTTCTGTCCCCTGCTGGTGGCAGAACCCGAGGGGGGTGAAGCCTTCATGGTCTTCCCCGTGCTTTCCCTCCTGTGACTCATGCAGGCAGAGGCGCGGAAGGGGACGTTTGAGGACAGCATGAAGCCTGCCGGCCTTAGCAGGAAGGTGTGGGCGAGGCGGCCAGTGGGCTGTGGGGCAGCGCTCGGGGCGGGGCGGCCAGAGAAAAGCCTGCCTGTGGGCCCCAGCGCCAGAAATGGCGAAGGCTGTCTTTGAAGACTAGACCTGCCAGACGGGACAAATGGGAAGTTCTTCCCAGACGGGAAGGAAACGGGGATCAGAGGAGAAAAGAACAGCAGGGATCTGGACTGTGTTCACCTCCCGTGGCAGCCACAACACGCTTCCAGACTGCTTAAAGCACCAGAAACGTGTTCCCTCCCAGTGCTGGCACCAGGAGTCCAAAACCAAGGTGGCACATGTGGCTCCTTCTGGAGGCTCGAAGGGAAGACATGTCCCCGCCTCTGCGGTGATCCTCGGTGTCACTTAGCCAGATGCATCCCGTCCTTTGCTCTGTTCTGTGCCTCATGGGTATGGCGTTCTCTGTGTCTGTACCCAAATATCCTCTCCTGAGGGCCCGTCCTAGTGATCTTACCTCTTTCCAAGTGAGGTCACGTTCTTAGGCATGGAGAGTCTGGCCTCAGCTTGCCTCTTTGGTGGACACACAATTCCACACTAGGGATGGAGTTGACGGGGCCAGGAGAGGAGCAGAGGCCTCACTCAGCGAGGAGGCAGGGAGGCCCTGGGAGGAAACGGGGTGTCAGCTGGGCCTGGGTCATGGATGTTGATCTTGTAAAGACAGTGAATGGGGGTAGGTGAGAGTCGTCCACAGGGACAAGGGTCAGGAGGCGGGACACAGGGCCCGTGACCTGCACGGGAGGCAGGAGCGGGAGGCTCTGCGGGGCTGGTGCCCATGGAGGCTGCTGGCACGTCCAGTGGACATGCTTGTGGGGAAGCATCTAGTCTGTCAGGAGTTAGAGCTGCAGTGAACCGGCCTTGGAAAAATCCAGGTCTGGAGTGTGATCAGCAAGGTGACCACACTGTGGGTCGGCCTTCAGGGCACAGTGAACCACTTAAGAGGAAAACCTTGGACTCTGAAGGAGACTCTTTGATTCTGCGTGAAAATACGAAGAGGAAAGGCGATCGTGCCACCCTCGCCCCTGCAGGGTGTGATCCTGCAACTCTGTGGATGGCGAGGCCCCAGCTCCTGTGCCCCCCGCACCTTGGGGAACCCGTCCCTTGGCAGTGGGGGTGACGGCAGCCAGCAGGGGTTGGAGGGATGGATGGCTGGAGGTTCCTGTGGACCTGAGACACCCTCTCCCCACGGCCTGTGGGGGCCCCCCTCACGCCACCAAGCCCATGTCCACAGCGGGGCTCTGTCCACCTCCTGTGTCCTCCTTCCACGGGACCGGCTGTTGGTATCGCCCTCCGCCATCAGACCGAGCGGCTAGAGGGCAGAAACATCACTTGCTTCATCTCAACTAGCACAGAGTCCTCTCTGGGTACCTGACGGGGAAGGATCGAGTAGACTCAGAGGCATATGGCTTTTACCGTGTGCCCATGTAGCCGTTTTTAAAGGAACAACTCAGAGGTGTTAAGTGCTTTGCAAGGCTCTGCACCCATCGCCACCCTCCCTGTCCCACCTGTGTGTCTCCCCTGGTGATGTCACCTGGACAGCAGGACTGGATGAGGCAACAGCATGTCGGAGCGTGGACAGGCAGCGAGGACAGAGGTGCCCTGGGACCTGCTCCCAGCTGGCTGCCTCTGCGTTCCAGGAATCCTCCAGGGCCTGGCCTGGCCCCAGACACTCTCTTCCAGGCCCAGGCCCCCACAGGGACCCAGGAGAGGGCCTGGTGATGCAGGACAGCCGCGGCTGTCCCCTGGGCCACTAGAGGGCAGGCGGGAGCTGCTCTCCAGGGACCCGAGGCCCCCGCCGTCTGGGAGGGGCGCTGGGTGTTTCCCCAGGGAAGGTGCCTCACACTCGGTGCCTGGAAACAACAGAAAGGGGCTCTCCCGCAGCTCTGGAAGCTGAAAGTCCACGGTCAGGGCATCGGCAGGGCCTGGTGCCCTCTGCAGCCTGCAGGGAGGCGTCCCTGCCTCTTAGCTTGTGGCTGCCACAGCCCCCGCGCTGTAGACGCATCACTCCCACCTCTGTTGTCACTTGGTGCCCCTGGGGGTCCCCATGTCTCTCCTGAGGACGCCGCTCCCATCGGATCCAGGGCCCGCCCACCCCATCTTCACATCATACCTGTCATGACCCCATTTCCACTGGGTCCACATTCCGAGGTACTGGGGTGCCAGTCCGTCTTCTGGAGAGACACAATGCAGCCCGCGACAAGAAAAATGATTGAATCAGGCTCATGCGATCCCCTGGGGGCTTCTCCACATAGCAGGGAGTGCCAGGGGCTGCATTCTTAAGTCATGGATGCGTCTCAGCCCCGGGCCCAGCGCCCTCGGGGTCTAAGCTGCCTCTGCCCCGGGATCCGGCCCTGCACCCCGCTGGGACACGCGCCCATCTGTGCTTCTCACGAGCTTGCTTGCCTTCCAGAACCAGTTGTCCGGGAACCTGCTGAGGAAGTTCAAGAACAGCAACGGGTGGCAGAAGCTGTGGGTGGTGTTCACAAACTTCTGCCTGTTCTTCTACAAGTCACACCAGGTGAGTGCCCGGCCCCGGCACAGGGGGCCCTGAGGTGAGGGATGCCTGCTGGGCAGGCTGGGAGCGCTTTCGGGGCCCCTCGCAGCACCCCCTGCTCGTGGGCAGACCGCCCCCTTGAGCTGGCCCTGCTGTGCTCCAGGGTGGGGACGCCACGTTCGCCAGAGGCTGACCTTATCCACTTGCTGAAGGACGGCTTCAGCCCAAAAGGGCCACCTGCCTGCTGGTGGGACAAGGCGGGGGGGAATGACCTCACCACCGGCTCAGTCCTGGCGGAGGGTCACTTCCAGGGCCCAAGCCCGAGGGGCGGAGCCGAGGCAGCCTGCAAGGCCACTCTGTTCCCCACCAGGACAATCACCCGCTCGCCAGCCTGCCTCTGCTCGGATACTCGCTCACCATCCCCTCGGAGGCCGAGAACATCCACAAAGACTACGTCTTCAAGCTGCATTTCAAGTCCCACGTCTACTTCTTCAGGGCTGAGAGCGAATACACGTTTGAAAGGTAGACGCCCCCTTTTCCAGCACAGGGCACGGCAGAGGAGGACGCTCTTCCCAACACCAGGATTTCTCCCGAGCAAATGAGCCACCTCGGGGCTGGGGGGAGGTGTTGGCCACATACCCCCCATCCCTGCCAAGTGCTTAGTGTGCAGAGGCTTTAGACCTGGGGTCCCTCTGCCAGACACCAGTGTACAATTCCACTCTCCTGGTCACACCAAGTAGGGTCACAGCTTCCTGGGCTGTAAAGATGAGTCTTTACCCTGCAGTCTGGGACAACACCACAGCTGTCACGTGCGTGTTGTACAGTGAAGCCAAGCTTCCATGGATACACGCAACCAGGGAGGGCGTTCAAGTGCTGGCCTGGCCCACAGTTTAATGGCAGAAACACACACCTTTTCCATCAGTGGCTTCAGTAGTTATTTAGTCCGAATACTCCTGACGGGGCTGTGGCCAAAGATGCTGTTTCAGGTCAAAGGACCATTTGAGCAAGAAACACCTTAGTTCTCCCCAGGGTTCCCTTTTTGATGAGACTACCACACAGTGACTCAAGGCCAAGAAATAAAAGTAATGTGCAAAGAGCCAGCTGTTAGGTACCTTGGCTTGAGGCTGTTTCTAAAATTCACATTTCATGTAGAAATCCTGGGCCTCTGCTGCCAGATGCTCTAGGAGACCTCCAAAAAAGCAGCTGTCGCTGCTGAGCCGCCATCTGGGGGGTGCACAGGGAGTCCTAGGGCTACAGCGAGGACAGGGTGGTCACTTATGTAGGGAGAAACCCCACCCCTGGTTATGCCACGTGCTCAGACAGTAACCTGTTCCCACACTGATACAAATTCCACAAGGGTTTCCAAACTGATGAGCTAACTGTAATCTGTGCACAGTCTCTAGTAAATTCCATGGAAATAACTCAAGGGGTTAAAATCAAGAGTTTAGGCCGGGCTCGGTGGCTCAGTCTGTAATACCAGCATTGTGGGAGGCCGAGGCAAGTGGATTGCCTGAGCCCGTGCATTTGAGACCAGCCCGGGCACCTTGGCAAGACCTCGTCTCTACAATAAATCAAAAATTAGCCAGGCCAAGTGGTGCACGCCTGTAGTTCCGGCTACTTGGAAGGCTGAGGCAGAAGGATCGCTGGAGCTCGATAGGTCGACGCCGGGGTGGCTTTGAGCGTGCCACCGCGCTCCAGCCTGGGCAACAGTGAGACTCCAACTTGGAAAAAAAATCAGGCGTTGAGTACTCCCATGACACCAAGCAGCAGCTCCAAGCACCACTGTTTGAAGCAGGAACCCGAGGACAGTAACCCTCCCACTTGATCCTGGACTAGAAAACCTAAGCTCGAGGGACGAGCTGGGTGGTCTGGGCCGGGACCTTGGTGTGATCGTGGGAAAGCGAATCCAGGGAGTCTCGAAAGGCCTGGGCCGAGGAGTCCTGGGATGCAAGTCTCGCCACAGAGGCAGGACACGGGGCGTGCTCCGTGTCTCGGCCGGTCCTGCTGCGCCCCAGGCAGGCATCACAGGGTCCTGCAGGGAGGCTGTGTCCACCGTAGGCCCTCGACTCCATGTGAAGGTGACGCTACTGCCGTTTGGGACGAGATCGGGGCCGGGGGAGGGGTCTGTCCTGTGCAGTGTGGGATGGTGAGCAGCACCGCTCGCAGCTGAGCGCAGCTAGTGTGCCGTGAAGGCCCCAAGTGCACGAAAGGGAGCTTCCGGCAGGCGGGCTGGGACACGCGCCACTGTCTTCTGAGTGCCCTGGGGAGGACTAGGGGCTAGGGTCACGCAAACAGCCAGCAGCCCCCTCGCCCCCAGCTGCCCCGAGAGGAGTGGGCGGTGCCACCTCGGCAAGGACATTCATCCTAGCTCCCTGCAAAACCTGAGTGCCCAGGCCAGTGGTTCCCAAACTGTGTTCCTCGAGAACCGGGGAACCCTCCGCCGGGGTCCCAAGCATTCACCTCCATACTCTTCTGCCGGAGTGGCAGTAACCACCAGGTGGTGTACCCCATGCTGGTTTTTCCTAAGTGAGGACACCAAAGTGTCACAAAGCTGACCGTGCAGGGAAAAAAGACGGGTTTTTAGAAAGCGGCCCCAGGTAGCTATTTCGTAACCTTCCTCCTGTTCCAGGTGGATGGAAGTGATCCGAAGTGCCACCAGCTCAGCCTCTCGGGCTCATGTTCTGAGTCACAAAGAATCTCACGTGTACTGAGGGCTGTCCTGTCGCCGTTCCCACAGTGGCTGCCTCCTGGAAGACCCTTTCTTCTGTGTGAATGAAGCCTAGTAAAATGAACACCTTCTCCGACACAAAACCCTGGTTTGACAGCAGCTCTCCTCTGTCCACGCAGCGTCCTTAGCCTTGCCCTCTCGGCATCCAGACGGAACAGTGCCCCAGCCCAGCCCTGGCAGCCTCCTGCCCGTCGCCCTCCGGGGGCTGTCCTCTAGCTTGTGCCAGTATTAAACATTGTCATTAAGAGAGTGCCAAATGACACGCCCCCCACCCTGCCCCGACAAGCAGTGCAAACACCTCCGCTCAACACAAGACAGGACGGGTGCTCTGCTGTTTCTTCACGAAGAAAACTCTTCTTCTCGCCTGCAGGCTGCTGCGTTTTAAAAAACGGCCTTCGCAGTGCTGGCGACACACTCGGCGCAGCCTTAAGCAAATGAGATCATTTTCGGATTTCGTTTTTCCAGTCTTTCTACTTTTATAATACTAGGTAGTAGGACTCACTTCTTTGATTAATAAGCGGTTTGCAGCACACAACGTTCCACTAGGGGTTTCATGCTCCCTGAAAACACTTGTTCCCGACTTTCTTTTTGTACGAGTTGACCAAATCGTCTACGTGGTGGCTATTTACACGCCGTGGCGGGTGGTTGTCTGTTCCGAGAAGCTGCGGCCCCGGTGCAGCATCTGGACCGGCAGCGTCCCGTGAGAGGCGTGTTCGATGGGAAGCTGAAACGCTGCGGTGTTTGCTGTCCGTGTCACAAGCATGAGCTGTGTGTCCCTGAGCAGGGCCCTTTGTGCTGTGTTGTGTGACGGCGTCCTCGTGCGCGTACGTGGATGCGGAAGCACCGTGAAGTGCCGTACGTGGACCCCGGCGCCTGCTCTCCCCGTGTCCTCCCGCAACTGGGGTGTGAAAGTGCGCGTCCTCTGGTAGTGTGTGTCGTGCCTGTCTTCAAACGTGTTCGTTGTGCGCCGAGCCCAGGCGTGGGGGCGGCAGCAAGACGTGCGCCGCCTCGACCGGCGGGTGCCCGGGAACGCGGCGCCCAGGCCTTGGCCTGTGTGTGCCCTTCTCTGGCGTGGGGTGGCTGCTACTCCCTCGGTTCCCACGCCCTCGCTAAGCCAAGTCTCGAGCAGTGCGGAGGCGGCGCGCAGCCACACCGCCCTTTCCACTGCCCTGCGGGGAAGCCCACTTGCCCGAGACACGGGAAGCTGCGCGGCTGCGACCGGCGTGCGTGGAAACGGGGATTTCCGCACGGGTGGGGAGCTTGACGCGTGTTAGTCATTTGCCTTACAGTATGTACCAGACGGTTTCCAGTACTAACAAAAGGGAATAAAAATACCTCACGCCACAGTCCAGCATATTGAAGTTTCAAGGCAAAACCACCGAGCTTGTCTCTTGTCTTTTTTTCTGTGTGTGTGTGTGTGTGTGTGTGTGTGTGTGTGTGTGTGTGTGCGCGTGCGCGCGCGTGCACGGTGGGAGGAGAAAAGGGCAGGGACTCACGCCCCGAGACACACACATTTTGGGAAACTTGGCACGGGAGATGGAACATTCTAACAGACTTAGCAGCAGCAGCTGTCACAGACAAATACACATCCAAGAGAGGCAGAGAAGTGGGGAGGGCCCGCGCTCCGCTGCTCCCTTGGGAAGGAGCCCTGGAGACCCAAGCTGCTCCCGAGACCCCTCCCACAGGCCAGCAGGGGCGGGGCAAACAGTCCAAGGGTCACGGGCAGCAGCCGAAAAGCGTTGCCTCAAGAAGTCACCCGTCAGGCTGGGCGCCATGGCTCGCGCCTGTAATCCCAGCGCTTTGGAAGGCCAAGGCGAGAGGACTGCCTGAGCCCATGGGTTCGCGCCCAGCCTGGCAACTTGGCAAGACCTCATCTCTACAATAAATTTTTTAAAAGTTAGCCAGGCGTAGTGGCGTGCACCTGTGGTTCCAGCTACTTGAAAGGCTAAGGCGGAAGGATCACCTGAACCCAGCAGGTCAAGGCTGCACTGGCTGGGAGCATGCCACTGCACTCCAGCCTGACCGACAGAGTGAGACTCTGATTCAAGAAAAGAGAGTCACCTGTCACTAAATTCCCAGAGACGGGGGCAAAGCGGTCTCCTACCTCGATCTTCCTGAATGATTCCAAGCTATTTCTGCTGAACCCTGGTGGTTCCAATCTGTGGCCAGCACCCGTTTCCCATGTGACCTCAGAGGACAACTCAGTCCACGTCCAAGCTGCCAGGAACAGATGGCATGTCAGAGCCACCGCCACACGCAAGACACAAAAACTCTCATTTTCTGTGAGATCTACTGATGTGTGATGCAGCACCTGTACTCAGAACACACCCCGTGCACCCTCCACCTCCATTGCCACATTTTATAGCAGAAATACAGAAGCCATGTGTTTTAAGGAAGGAAATATAAAAATGCTTATAAATTGGCCACGTTTTGCCAAAAGAAAAGTACAAAATGCGACATAAAGCAGCAAGCCAGACACTCCACAAGAGCAACTCGAGGCTAAAACCTGGATTTGGAAGGCCAGTGGTACGTCCAAAAATCTAAAATAAGAGCCCACTGTTGGGTGGCCAGGGAATCCCAAACCATACTGGTGCCCACCTCACTGAGCGTAGCCAGCTGGGATACAGACAACTTCAAAAAGGCACAGGCCAGCCCAACCCAGCCAGCTCGCAGCCACTGTCTCCCAGGGACAGGATGTTTTGCGGACCCCTTTCCCAGCCAGCTGTTTCGTGAAGTCGGGCTACAGTCTTCACCAGCTGAGCCATGGGCCGCTCAGGGCAGACCTGGAGGCTCCAACACAGAGCTCACAGGTCTGGCTCCACTGTCGGGGACAGGTGCCGGTAGAGCTCCCGTGCCTGGGCTCTGTTAATGAATGACTGGACGTGGAAGCACAGATGCCAGCTTCCTTGGCTAAGCAAGAGGCCCTTAAAAACCTCCCAGCTGGCTGGGCTCACACCTGTCATCCCTGCACTTTGGGAGGCCGAGGAGGGAGGATTGTTTGAGGCCGGGAGTTTGACACCAGCCTGGCGACATAGCAAGACTTCCCTTCTTTTTTAAAAAACAAAATCTAGATGATTGTGTGTCTACAGAAAATAACCCAGATGAGCTGGTACAGATGAGGTGATCCACTTTTAAACTCCAGTCAAGGCTGGGCTTGGTGGTTCAGCCTGTAATCCCAGTACTTTGGGAGGCCGAGGAGAGTGAACTGCCTGAGCCCATGGGTTCGAGACCAGCCCCCGCAATGTGGCGAGATCTTGTCTCTATAATAAAATAAAATTTTAAAAAATCACCCAGGCGTGGTAGCGCACACCCGTAGTTCCAGCTATTTGGAAGGCTGAGGCGGAAGGATCGCCGGAGCCCAGCAGGTCGCTGGGGTGGCCGTGAGCCTGTGTGCCACTGCACTTCAGCCTGGGCAATGGAGTGAGATTCCAACTCCAAAAAAAAAAAACAACTCCAGTCAAACCACATCTCCCCTGGGAATGGAATTGACAAAATGCTCTCAAAGAATAACTGGTTGCCTTTCCAGGAGATGGAGTTGTGTATTATTACCGTCCAGAGGCTACAGGGACTCATGAGAACCACAGCTCCTAGTACTGGGACTGGCTTCGGCACCTAAGCTGCGATGTCCCTTCGCACCCGTAGAGCTGAAGAACTAAATTAGAAAAGCTGCTGTCTTCCTTGACGCTTAAAATCAGGTGCCAGTGCCCTCTGGGGAACACAGAGTCATCTGAGCGACTGATTCTTTCTCCTGCAAAGGTCAAAATTAACCTTTGACTTATGTCTCCCACAGAAAAACGCAGTTCCCACGTAGAATACGCCCTAGCAGAACAAAACGCAACACCTGAGATTTTATTATTCCAGAGAGCATTCTTACCGCAGAATAACACATACCATAGGAATGAACAGCTGTCTCCTCTTACCAAAACACACCCCTTATAGAAATCAGCAGTTCAACCCAAATCCACTTGTAGCAAAATACCACAACTTATTTGCAGAGTTTAAAACCTAGAGCAGCCGGACTCGGTGGCTCAGCCTATCATCCCAGCACTTTGGGAGGTCGAGGCAAGTGGATTGCCTGAGCCCGTGGGTCTGAGACCAGCCCGGACGAGACCTTGTCTCTACAATAAAATTAAAAACTAGCCGGGCATGGTAGTGTGCGCCTGAAGTTCTGGCTACTTGGAGGGCTGAAGTGGGAGGGTCGCTGGAGCCCAGCAGGTCGACGCTGGGGTTGCCATGAGCGTGCCACGGCACTCCGGCCTGGGTGACAGAGTGAGAGTCCAACTCAAAAAGAAAAACAACCTAGAGTAGCAGCAAATCTAAGCAATAACCACCCGCCCAGACGTCTCTAGCTCAGGGCTCTGTCCTCTCCCTGCAGCTTCCAGGCCAGCAGAGAGCCGGGCTTACATCCCCAAGTCCACCGTCCACCCGGTAACTTCCTTGCTCCTACGAGTCCTTTGTCTTGAGAACTGGTGCGCCAGCAAGAGGTGACAGTAGCTGACATCCCTTATAAAAGAACGTCCTCAAACCAGAGAGGCAAGGACTGCTACAAAAACTCTCTCCCATCCTAGAGACTCAGAGGTCATCTCCCTGCTCGCCTGGCAAGCAAGGCCTCACAGCAAGCCAAGACGGCCAGCCGCGACGGCCGACAGAGCACGCGAACCCAGGATCCGTTGAGAGAATGGGAGGAGCCGCGCGGTCCTGCAAGCACAATGGCCATTTTGCACATCAGCGACACTCAAGCCCACCTTCCCAGCGACCCGGTGTGCGGGTCATGTAGGGCCAGCGCTGAGCTGGACGCCTGACACCCAGGGCGCTTCTCCCCAGCGCCTCGCCGCACCCACTCAGCGGGCGCCCTGCCTGCTGCCGAGTCGCATCTCAAGGACGAGCATGCAGAATAAGTGTGTTATAAAATTTATTCGTGTAAGCATTCAGACATCTGTAGGTGGGAAAGAGGATATGCAGATTCCACTACAAGGTGCAACAGAAAATCGTACGGGAAAGGACGGGACACCTGGCGCAGACCGGCGGCGGCACGACTCCGACGACTGTGGGACGAGGGCGCTTCGTCGGGGAACGAAGTCATGATTTAAAGCTTCGTGAGGCGAGATATGTTCCGACTGAAAACACTAAGAGAGTACCATCGACGAAAAAAGAAATCAACTTCTAAGTGTACCAAAAGGGTCCTAGGGCAGACGAGAGGAAAATTCGCGTTTGCTGAGGTACCAGTAGGAGTGTTCCGTGAGAGGGGCACTGATTATTATTAATGACAAACCCTGCAAATACAAAATAAAACCCAAATCACTGGTCACAGAATTCAAAATTTACATGTAGTAAAGGCAAGGCAATAGACTCAAGTTATGGCCTGTCAAATATTTACTCCACTGACATTATCTACAGAAGCACTTGGCCAATGTGTACACAGTGATTCCTTAAGCACGCCGAAAGGGTTTCCGTAAAAATGACGCTATATACAATCTGTACACCGATCCACCAGCACGACCCTCCATCTCCCAGAGGGAGTGATCAACTTAAAGCAGGATACCTGAGGTTTCATGTCTTTAGTTGCCTTATCATAATCCCAAATATACATTTCAGGGTTGGTTTGCGTTTTTAAAGACACTTTCCTTGAATATGTGCATTATGGCTAAAATTAACAACAAGGATAATAAAACAAAATGGCCGCTTGAGGGAGCTGACCCTCCCACCCCATCCGAGAGACTTCATCTGGCTGCGGCCCGGGGAGGACCGTGTGTGTCCTTGGGCGGGCGCCCCTGGCGCCGGGGCCCCTCGACGGCGCGCCTCTTCAGTGGAGTCAGCAAAGGCTCTCGTTGACTTTTAAAAAGGAGGAGGATGTAGAAGAAGAGAGAAAAGTAAAACCCCCAGTGCCGAAGGAATCTCAGTGGGATGAGGGCCCTCCACTCAGAGAGTATCTAGGGGGAGAGAGAGAGAGAGAGAGGCAGTCAGTGAACGCACTTTCCGAAGCCCGCGCAAGATGCAAACAACCCAAGCCCTGGCTGTTGTGAGAAATTCCAAGTCATACAGAAGTGAGTGGAGCAAATATCAGTGGGTCAATAAGTCTAGTGTTTAAAGGAACTCATAGGATACCGAGTCCACCACACCAGGGGGAGAGAAGGCTCTCTAGAAGCCCAACCTCGCCTGCACACAATTTACTTACGTAGCAAATCCTCACATGTACCCCCAACTCTAAAATAAATGCTAAAAGAAAAGAAAATCCGCTTGTAACTACTGCCAACTAGAGCCAAGGTAATTTGAATCTATGCTCCCAGGTTGTGCTTCTCAAGCTTGACCCAAATAAACTCCCTGCTTATATTTTTAAAAATAAAATAACGCATAAAAATTAAGAAACTCATAGCCAGATGCAGTGGCTCATGCCTGTAATCCCAACACCCCGGGAGGCCAAGGTGAGAGGACTGCCTGAGCCCACGGATTTGAGACCAGCCTGGACAACTTGGTGAGACCTCATCTCCACAATAAATAAAAAAATAAGTCAGGCATGATGGCACATGCCTGTAAGTTCCAGCTACTTGAAAGACTGAAGCAGAAGGATCACCTGAGCCCAGCAGGTTGAGGCTGCGGTGGCCGTAAGCGTGCCACTGCACTCCAGCCTGGATGACACAATGAGACTCTGACTCAAAAAAGAAAAAAAAATTAAGAAACTCATGATTCTGACACGAAAACTTCAGAGAATATAACAAAAAGTGAGAATGTGTGTAGCCTCCCTGGAGAGGAGATGTGAGTAAAACAGTTCATGCTGCCCCTTTCCTTATAATCAGTTTTTAAAACTGAAAATCAATAATACTCAATGATACGGAAGATTCCAGGGGTGCACATACATTCCTGGTTGAGTGCAGGAGACCCTTTTTGGCCACAAAAACACTGATGTGGTCCAAGAACCCAACTCCTAGAAGTGCTTCAGAAATACAGTCCAAAGGAGGAGCGACATATTTGCACAAGGCTGTCTCTCAGGGTTTTTGTAATTAGGATAATTTGGAAACAACCTGATGCCCAACCGTATGGGAAAAGTAAATTATGCAAACTGAGATAATAGAGAATACAAATTGTAATTATCTATATTTAAGCAGCATAGAAAATATACACAAGTTATTAAGTATATACATAATTACAGGATGAATAACCCTTAGCAGAAATGCCTGGGCCCCAAAGCATTTCTGATTTGGGATTTGGAGATGCTTGCATTATACTTACCAGTTGAGCAATCCAAGACTGAAAATCTAAAATGCTTCAGTGAGCATATCCTTTGAGCCTCACATTGGCACTCAGAAAGTTTCAGATTTGGCATATTCAACCTGCATATGTGCACTCCACATGTATAGTTTACATGTGCAATTTTGCTATCCTAAATAAATATTACAGAATGTCTTTAAGATCCGATCTGCACTATAACCTGAAGGTATGTGAGAAAATTAAATACATTTATGACCTGCATATAGCAACAGAAGGCAACGCATCAAAAGATGATCATAATATTCAAGTAATTATGGGAACATGAGCAGTTTCTGTCTTCCAAAAATTTTACAACACCATCTCACTTTAGACTACAAAAACGGGTAGGGGTGGGGTCCCCTCATGGCCAAGGTCAAAATGGATTCCAAGTCACAGATCCAGGAGACACGGCTGGGATGAATTTGATGAGACTTATCGCTCACATTCTAAGCTAGAGCTCCTCTTTTAAGGCATTCAAAATACTCAGCCCGCTCCCAGAGAACAAATGGTTACAGAAGATCCTCTTAAAAGCACATGTTGGTCACAGATTCCAAAACTCAATTTTCAAGAAATACAATTGACTAAATCATGAGATGAACTGATGCCACACAAAAGAATCCAAACATTAATTCAAACTAAGACAAAAAGGCTTTGAAAATTCCTCAGACAAGAGTCATTTCTCATTTTTTCCAAGGTCATCTGCTGACAAAGCATGTTTGGGAGCAAAACTGGTAAGAAGCCTGAGCAACAGCCACCATGACTGCATTCTATCAGTGAATGCTCAGGGCTGCAGGTGCACGGAAGGAAGGCATGGCTGCCATACCACGCCTGCAGGGAGAAGATAAGCACCCGTCAGTCGGGTCATCTGAGGACGGGGGAGGAGAGAGGGTGCACTCATCAGAGGCAAGAAAAACAAGAGAGAAGAGTCTTTTGACAAGGAGAACGAACGAACGAATGGAGGTTATGCACTGTCAACCTCTCACTGGAAGTAACATTTTGAACCAAACATGGATGCAGAGCGTTGCAAACCCACACTCCAGTAAATACGGCAAAGACCAGCCAGAACACCTTTTGGGCACCTAAGATGTGTCAAGTCCAAACTGAGATGCACTGTCTGATGTAAAATACACAGCAAATTCCCAAGACTTAGGACAAAAAAGGAATGTAAAGTATCTTCTTCACTGATCAGTGTTTGCACTGATTGCATGTTGAAATCATCTTTTGGACGGAGCAGGCCAAATGTTCCACTGTTAAAACTAATTTTGCTTGTTTCTTTTTACTTCTTAAAAATATGGCTGCGAGAAATGTGAAATTCCACGTGGGGCTCCTGTCACACTTCTACTAGACGGCGATGGTACAGAGCAACATGCGTGAACAACTAAATGAAGGAGAACCGAGAGTAAGGGGTCCAGGGTGGGAAACACACGACCCATGCCCTGGAGCTGCTGGAGAAACCTAGTCAATTAAAACAATCCTAATACTTCAGGCAATTCTGGACAAGGTGCAAAGCATGTGCTCTACACGTGGCACAACAAAAGAGAAAACTAAACCCTGAGTAAGATACCCGTATCACCAGTGTCTGGCTTAGCTCTATTTACTTTATTATAAGGCTCTTTTTAATGAGCAATGTGGGCCCCTAGAATAAGGTACAAAGTGACACGTAGTTTTTGTGAGAAATCAAAGTCTGTGTCTGGGTGAGCCTCTGGGTGACTTGGTTATTCTGTCTTCCTTTATCCTGTCACGTTACGTCACTTTTAGTTTCAGAGGTCGGGGGAGAGGTCACCCAAAAAGATCACTGTTTCCTTCAGGTACCTCAAAACTGAAGGCAGCTAAGTACATCGTTTTTATTTTCTATCCCAAGCCTCGAAGCAAGTTAAAAAGCGGAACTGTCTGTCGCTGAGCAGCCCGAGTTCGGAGGACAAACCCAGAGGGGCAGAACTGCGCTTTCCCCTGGACGTCCCCACTGAGAGGGGCTCTTCACAGGACAGCGGGCGGCCCCTTCGAATGTCACTTCCAAGAGGCAGAGGGGACCCATGTGCTCAAAACTACTTCATGTGCTATCAAGCAGCCATCTCAAAAAAGACCTAGACTGCCCTTGTCGCCACAGGGGCTCGGCCAGCTTTGGAAGGGGTGCCGCCTGGATGCCTGAAGAGGAATGTCAGAGCAGCGGATGCCTGGCCCTCCCCGGAGCGTGGAGGAGAGGCCAGGGGCAAAGCACTCGCTGGCCAGCCACCTCCGCCACGCCCAGATGCCAGACACCTGCACCTGTGCCGAGGGCAGCCGAGGGCCTGCCTTCACACTCACATCCCCAAGACAAGCCGTGAGGGGAGGCAGGGAAGGCCCAGGTGTCGCCCCCCGGGCCGCTCTCCCGGTGCCTAGGCAGCACGAGGCCCCCAGGTGGAAGCCGCAGGCTCCCGAGCACAGCACACACTTGGGAAAGGAAAAAGCACGCCTGCCCATTCTCATCAAGCGTCAAAACTTCCGATGCTTCACTCTAAAGCCTAAGACCAAAGGGCCAGTGACATCTGGCTCGGGACTGTCGTCCTCTAATGACTGGCCTACGTAAGTAAGAGCAGACAGGTCAACATCATCCTGTATTTCTGTGGCAGGAGCTACAGATGGACAAAGTCCTGCGCTCCTTCCCAGTAGTTTCCAGATTCAGACCCTTCACTTAGGCTGGTTTCCATGATTCAGAGCTTAAGTCCTCTCTGATTTGACTCGGCTTCAGCCCTGAGGCCAGGAAGGTGACAGGAACAGACAGACAAGTATGAAGCGCACACCGTCCCCAAGTCCCGGCCTGGGTGCCGGACTCCCCCCCAGCCCGGGCTGAGGAGGCCCCAGCAGTTACCTCTGGAGCCGCTGCACAAGCTGGGCCACCATGGTGTCGGAGATGCCGGGGCACGCCTCCTCCGCCAGGTAGATGGCGCCTCGCAGCTCTTCGATGGACCCCAAGTTCCCTCCACACGCCTGGCTCTTCTCCTTCAGCTGCAGACACAGGACAGGAAGAGCAGCCTGACGCATGTGCACAAGCACCGAGGAGCACTGGTCTCGGGGGCAACGTGCGTGGGGAACACGACACCACCCGGGCCGAGTCCCGGCAGCTGCTGGGTCCCTTGGGACTCCTTTCAATGAAAACCTACTCAAAACAGACACCGGTGACTCGGAAGGTGGGAGGGCGAGGGACGGCAAAGGACCTTGTGGGTGCAAGGGACACCACCCGGGGACGGGCACGCCAAAAGCGCAGACGCCGCCCCTTCACAGCCCCGTCGGGTCACAGACAGGGGAGAGGAAAGCCAAGCAGCCGCCCCGGGAAGGGCCCAGGACAGGGCAGGGGAACAACGCCATGGCCCTTCCAGGCCAGCACAGACTACATGCTCGCAGGGCCCCTTTCCCACACCTCGCTGTGATGTCTGTCCTCTGCTCTTTTCCTGTTTCAACCTTGACCCTGCACCAGACAAGCAGTGGCACAGCCTGTCAGAACATACTCTTGTTCGCGCTGATGCTGTGGTGTGGGCCGCCCACCAGCTCGGCCCTACGTCCATGGGTTGGTTCCAAAGCTCCAGCCCACAGCCTCTGTGATCCCAAGTGCTGTGGAAACACTCGACCTCACGAGAACAAGGGGCAGCCCTGAATTCCGGGAACCCACAACGCCCCCCCTGGGCATCTCCCTCGGTTGAAGGTCAACCCCAAGTCTCTTTCTGTAAAGGCCCCAAATCTTGAGGACAGGAAAGCTGCCCATGTCAAGGCGCAGGATGCAGGCATCTCGAGGAGCAGGTGCACCCCGAGTGGCAGTGGGAAACACCCACGCCCATCTCCTCAGCGTCCTCACTCGTAAACAGCAACGATGGTCCTTTCTCACGAGCTTGTGGGAGTATTATATGAAATAATGCACACTAAACACTTAACTCCAGTCAAGTATTATCAGTAATACCAATCTACAGGAAAGACGCCCAAGAGTTTACCGTTCTGTTAGCTGAGAAGATCCAGGATATTATTGCATTTGGGACTAATCTGGAGTTGGTCCTGAATAATGATTTCCAGTGGCTTCATCGTGGCTCCAACCAACAATAAACGGCCTCCACAAGAGACCCAGGAGAGTAACTGAGCATCTAGAAACCCCAAGGGGCAACCTCCCAAGCCATGAAACAAAGAGCAAAACGGCGTGTCGCGGACATCCTAGGAAGAGCACAGATGCCCAGAGTGACCAGCATGGCTGAAGCCAGGCAGCGGCATGGTGCAGGCCCCGCACACGCCCCATGGTGTCCACCTGACCCGGCGTGTTCCACTCTCTCCAGCTGTGCCGATGCTGCAGGAGGGGCCCTGGGCTCCAGCCACAGCCCTGCTCCCACTTGGCCCTGAATTTGCCAGGCTGGACGCCCTCAGATAAGCCCAGGAGGGCAGCTGCTGGGCAGGGAAGCGGGTGGAGGCTTGGCACAGGGGCTGGAGGAAGGCTGGCAGGACCGTGGCAGGCTGGGCACGGGCACTTTGTGGCAAGGGCAGAGGCAAAGTAGGTGAGAGGAAGGAGTGCGTGTGGCACCTCCCCCGTTGAGTGCCAGGACCCCCGACATGGCGCCATGGAAAGCTGCCCAGAGAGGGTGGGCCCCGTACAAGCAGAAGGTGTGCCTGGTGACGCCCTGTAAACTACCTAAAGGGAGCCTCAGCCAGGAAAAGGTCACAAAAGGGGCGGACTTCCAACTTCTTTTCAGACCTGTCACAACCAGAAGAACAATCTTCACTCTTACAAAACCTACTTGGAATTCTATCAGACCGCAGCGTGCCAAGAGCCACCCACGGAGGCACCTTCCTGAGAAGGAGGGGGGCGAACCCTCGAGTCAGGCACAGGCTGGCCCACCTGGGACTGGACAGGGGACGTCCATGCTGCACGCGAGAGGAGGGACTGCGGTGAAATGGGTGGCATGCAGAAGCAAGCGCCCAACCCTGGGGGCCCTCTGGGGAGCATGCTGCAGACATCCCAGGCCTGCTTTTGCTAGTTGTGTTTTTGTTTTTGTTTTTTGAGTCGAGATCTCTCCCTTCACCCACTCTGGAGAGCAGTGGCACTATCACAGCTTACCCAGCCTCCACCTCCTGGGCTCAGGTGATCCTTCCACCTCAGCCTCCCGGGTAGCCGAGACAAGTACATACCACCACGACTGGCTGTTCTTTTATTTTTTTTTTAAGTGAGAAAGCAGGATGTATTGAGGGGACAGGAAAGTTCCCACGGGGGGGGGGCGCAGGACTTGAGGGGTCGCTCTTTGGTTTCCTTAAGAGATGAGGTCTTGCCATGTTGCCCAGGCTGGTCTCAAGCTCCCATGCTCAGGCGACCCTCCCACCTCAGCCCCCCAAGTGCTGGGACTACAGGCGTGAGCCATCGTGCCCAGCCTGCCAATGCGTTTTAGCGGCCTTGGCTCTTCCTGACGACAGTGCACAGAAGCAGGGCCTCTCCACCCCCTCCACTCCCGAGAACATCAGGCAGGCATCTTACCTCTGCAAACATCGGAGAAATAATTGTAGATAAACACTGAGAGAAAGGCCTCTTTGGGATGTCTTTCATCTTGGGGGAGGAAAAAACAGGTCATTAGACACAGTGCGCATGGGCAACAGCACAGGCAACCTCAGATCTGCACTGTCAAAGCCAGGGCTGATTCGACACATCTCCCTGAGGACACCTGCTACGTGCCTGCAACATCTGAAGAAGACCATCTTGCTGTCTCTCACCAGACTTCAAAGCGCAATTTGCAGTGACACGCAAAACCCACGTAGCTGGGAAACTGCGTCTGCATCCCATGTGGAAGGGACTTCGTGTGGGCGCAGCTTGCGCTGCATGGCACCATCGCGCTGTCCTCGCAGAAGCACATTTCTAATGAAACCCCGGACATGGACAGCAGACTGAGGCTGGCTGTTCCCAGTGGCTGTCGTATGATCGAGGCCTAGTTTTCACGTTTGCAAGCTCCATCTGAACACCTCACACCTGTCCACTGAGCAAAGCAGGACTGGCAGGGCCACCGGGGACAACCATGGTAAACCCTGCTGGAGACAAACTCCAGCACGGAGCTTTAAATGCACACAGGCATCCACCAGCTAATCAAAACTACGGTTGACATAAGTACCAAACGCAAGGCATTTTTTTATAAGGTCCTTAAAACTCAATCACAAAATTCTGACATGTAACCCTAATATGCAAATTAGGCAGTCATGTCAAGAGCTATGAAGTTGGTTCACACGTGAAACCTCCCCTCTCCCCACCCCATCGGGGCCACGTGTCAGGACATCCTGACTCCACAGCAGGGCTCAGGAGAGCAGGACAGAACAACAGGAAAAGGCTGGAGTCCAGATCTGAAGATTCTGGAGTCTGAATCTTTGGATGGAGAATCAGACAGCACTAAGCTTCTTGCTGTGTTAATCCCCTGACTGCACGACAGGCCACCCCAAGCACACAGCAAGCTTCACACAGAAGCAACTCCAAAATGTCACCGGTGACAGGTGCTGGTCATTCTAGTATGTGCAAATGTACCTTATTTCTTTCCAATTCCGACGGTTGAAGAGCTCCATTCTCCAGATTCTTGGGATCTTTTTCCCGGATTGTGAAGATCCAGTCCCCAGAGTCGCTGCCTCCAGATGCTTGGCCATCTGTTTCCCTAGACACAGAAACCCAGGCGAAGTCCATCAGTGCACACACACGGGCTCCGAGGGGCGGAGACTTGCCGGGGAAAGCCCCCCGGGGCCTCTGAACCCACCGTGTCCAACCCAACTCCACACCCACCACGCCTCTTCCAGTCCCCTGCCTCCCACACCTCAGAGAAGAGAAACCCCTGGAATGTGGTTCCGTGGCTGCCGGCCCCTCGTCCTCCTCACAAGGAAACAGACACCTTGTCTCCTGGAGACCCGTTTCCTCATCCCGGCTCCCCGCCCCAGCCCCGTGGAAAGCAGGTTCCCCTCCTGTGGCCATGGCCATTCCTCAGCCATGTTCCCGTGCGTGCACTGCCCCCACCTGCCACCCTCCACTCGCTCCAAAGCCCACCGAGTCCCTCCACACGTCACAAAACAGAAGAGGGCCCGCAGTCCTTTTCCCGCCTGACCCTCAGCAGCAGTGACCCCCGACCCCACTGACCATCCCACATGCCTGAGGCGGCTGGGCTGCGCCCGCCACAGTCCACCTCTTCCCTCTAGCTCACAGGCACGGCCTCACCCTCATGCTGGTTTCCCCGAGAGCCGGTCTCACACTCCATACGTACCCGGAGCGACACCATTCCTTCTCACAGCGCCAGTGACCCTTCATAGAGAGGGGACCCCTAAACCAGCCTCGCCTTCCGGCCACCTCACCCGAACACCACACTGCGCCACCACTTCAAGCTGCACCTCTCCTGGACTCACGCACGGCCCACACCTCCCTCGCTTCCTGTGCTTTGTCATCCCAATGCCATCGCCATGCTGGTCAAGCCTGGAATGTCTCCCTCCTTCACCCCAATCCATGACCAGGTCCTGGCTCTCAAAGCTGCCGTCTCTTTATCTTGTCGTTCCCGTGGCCGCCACCCCAGTCTCCCAACAGCATCACTTCAACAATGTCCAAGGTCAGTGATCTCAACCCTGGCTTTCACACAGAATCACTTAGAGACCCTGACCAACCACTTTGGGTCTCGTCCTCAGACGTTCTCATCCAACCAGCCTGGCATGCAGACCCGGGCCAGGCTGGCTCTAACTTCTGGCCACTGTGAGCCGGAAAACGGACGAACCCTCCAGGTGCAAACTTCCCAGACACAACACTTGCCAGACAGCTCCCTCCCAACCCCCTGATGTGAGAGCTATCAGGCCACCCTCGCCCCTTCCTACCAAAAGGCTCTTTGGCCAAAGGAATTCCCAGATGCTTAATTGAGAGCAGTTTTCAGTAAGCAACCTCCTGGCACAGAGCTTTTACAACAAGTATCTACCAGAACACTGTGTGGAGTCACAAAACACACATTTCTAGCCTTTCAGAAATGTAGCTAAACTGGTCAGCATTTTAAGAACTGGAAGCATAACGAAGGAAAGCAGAGGCAGTCAAGCTCTCTACGCACATCCCATCACAGGGATCTCACTCGAGAGAGCCTCCTGGCGGCATCAAGAGGCTGGAGGACCCCCAACAGGCCCCTCCTGTGTCCAACACAAGAAGCAGCATCAACCTGGGCTACCTGAGAAAAAAACAAACCCACCCCATCAAGAGACAAGCAGCAGATCCTCTCACACCTGCTCACGGCCAGCCCGGGCCGACTTACGCGTCGGAGTCCTCGGAGCTCGAGTCGTCGTGGCTCTGCTCGGCCTTCCACCTCTTGTACCTGTCGATGAGCTCCGTCAAGTAGGAGGTCTTCTTTGCATTGCGTATGATGAACTTGTGCTTCAGCAGTTCCTTAGCAGTGGGTCTCTGGAAGCACACGAAGTATAAGGTCGAGTTCATTCTTTATTCTATTTTATTCCTCCCTGAAGGACAGACTTCTGCCTCAAAATGTCAAGCCACTACACTAATGCATAAAACCAGTTCTACTTCAAAGCTTCTTGCTCTAAGCCTTCTCAAAGGACTAGTCACTCAGTGCCTGTGCCTGGGACCCCAGTTACTGTGACGGGCACTTCGTTTCCAAAGGGTCCTTAACGTTCCGCAGGGAATCGAGACCAAAAGAATCTCACTCAGAAAATACGTTTCCATAGAACGTTTTGCATAGAGCTTCGCAGAGATCATTCAAAAGAACTCATCTTCTAGGTTTAGAAAACATTTTTAATAAATGCTAGTGAGAGAGGAGATATATGTTCTGTGTCACTTTGTCAGCTTTCTATACTGACGTTTGGCCACACTCAAAATATAATAAATGACGTATGTTAATTTGGAACCATCTAAAAGAAACTGGAGAAGGGCCAGGAAATGGCCTTGTCCTGCCCGGGCCCTCTCAGTCTTCAGCTTCCCCAGTTGAGAGAGGCTGGCTGTCCAGGCCTGTCCCCAGGCTGCGACTGAGCTGAGGGCTTCACCCAAGCCCTGGACTCAGCACAGCCACGGTCAAAAGGCGCACTCTGAGCTCGGCCGACCGTGGCCCTTGAGGTTGGCAAACCCAGTTACAGGGAGGAGACCCAGTGTGGCCCTAACTGGAACAGACAGCAGGAACCCAAACAACGGTGAGTTAGACCGGGTCCCCCCTCACTCCAGATTGATTACCAAAGCCTCACTAACGAGAGCCAGACACGTTTCTCAAACTTGTGGAAAACTTCAGGTTTTCCTCCCTCCCTGTCCATGTGGCTGTGAAACCCCAGCTCACTCAGAGGTGCTCATATTCTCAGGCTCCTCATGGGCTGAGGGTAGACACAGGGCTGGAGACGTGTGTGCTGGGAATAAGCTGACGCTAGGAATATGGTTTTCATGGGAAGATGTGCACACACGTGGGCGTATCTCCCTGGGTGCTGGTGCACTGCACCCAGAACAAACATCATGATGTCATGCAATTCTGAGCACCGTCGATATACAGAACACCACCCACACCGCCACCTGATGCCTGCTATAGTAATCAGAGGCTGACTTGGGGGATCTCAAGGTGCAGCCCCTAGAGGTGCACAGGAAAAGCTGCATTTCCCATTTAATTCCTTTCCCCCAAACTGGCACCATATTAGAAAACCAAGGTGCTCTGGTAAAACTACTCTCCCATTTTTAGAGAACAGTTAATTAAAAGGGGAGTTCAGCTTGGGTTTCAGCTAAAAACTCAGAAACAAAACAAGGACATATGGTGCCACAGGCAACGCCAAAATACACAGGCAGCTTTCAGAGAAATGTCCCTGGGATGAGGGACAGCCCTGCAGTCACCACCACTGTACGCCTCTGCCAGAGTCGGTTAAACATGAAAAGGAAAGTAGGCAGGAAGAGGAGGAAGAGCCAGGAGGTGGCTCGCTTATAGTTTATCTTTTGTTTCCTAACACACGCCACCTGGAAACTGAAAACATTGACTTTAAAGTCGTATTTAGCCATTTGTCTGTAGGCTAGCCTTTGCCATTATTAAGAATGGCATAACTGCTTACAACCCGATCCTCTATCAGGATTAAACGTCTACGATTCCACATATAATAAAAAGGAGAACATTTTCCAGACTCTGAGTATGAGATGCTAGAAAATCTAAAAGAAGAGTAGTAGCTTTTTGCTGTTGTTGTTTTGAGAAAGCAGATTTACTGAGAGGACAGAAAAGCTCCTGCAGTGGGAGGGGACCCTAGCGGGTTGCCCAAGTAGTAGATTTTTAATCCTTAAAAGATAAAACAACAAGAAAAATATTGGCAATTCAGAGAACTCAATCTACTCATTTAGCAAAGAAAAATGAACGACATCACGAAGACTGCTGAAACTGGTGCTTAAGCAGGCTGCATCTAAACCAGGTCCCGCCATACACGAAAGATGCCCAGCCCAGCCCAGGCGCAACTCACAAAGCTCGGCTCCTTGTTCAAGCAGGCCTCCACGAACTCCTTGAGGGGTTTACTGTAGTTTCCTTCCAGCGTCGGGGGGTTGTTCTTTGGAATGAGGAATAAGACCTTCATGGGGTGTAGCTCGGAATGAGGCGGCTCCCCTTTTGCCAGCTCTATGGCTGTTATGCCCAGGGACCAGATGTCTGCCTACAAGAAAAGAGCGTCATCAGAAATACCCAACAGGAATACATTAAAACAGACATACTCAGGGGAATATAACTCCATACTTAGAGTTGTAAGAGAAGATTTTTTAACAGATAATAAAATACATAAGCCTTCAGTGTAGTTTCAAAACAGGGAACAACAGGAGGAAATTGAATATGCTTAAGATCTTCGACCTCTACACCAACAACGGCTTGTGTGGTCACCCCTACTGCACCTACTGGTGGGTGTGTTAGGTGTTCACTGTGGTGTCCCTGGAGCCAGCGGGGCAGGTGAGAGGGGTGAGCAGAGAGGTAGCTTGCAAGTCACCCCTGTCACCTGGTGCCCAGAACTCAGCTCAGCTCTGACGCCAACAACAGGCACCATGGTCTCAGAGACTTGCCTCTAAATGCCAGTTCTACAGTCAAAGTTCTGTGACATTATGCAAAATAGCTAACTCCTCTGTGAAATCGGGGGTGCTGCCCTCCTCTGTGAAATCGGGGGTGGGGAGGGGTGTCTTTCACAGTGCCCAAAATTTAAAAAAAGATGTTTACTATGAAAAGGTTCCAACATACACAGAAGTGAGGAATGTTACCACAATGCACTCTCATAGTCCCATCACATGAACTTATCTCCATATAGGCTTTGCCTAACCTGCTGCCACAGTATATTTTCAAGTACATCACAACCAACCTGTCGTGTCCCACCCCAAGCACACTAAGTCCCCTATATACGCGTTCTGTTCTGAGAGCATGTTCGTAAGTCCAACAAAGTTAGCCTAGGTACCCAACTAACTTAATTGGCTATACTGTAATAGGCTCATAATACTTTTCACACAAATAATACATGAAAAATAAACACCAAAAAAATCAAGAAACCATTTTAAATCTTACAGTACCTTGAAAAATATAGTAGTACTTAGGTGATTTGGACATGCAAGTGCACATACGCATCTTTTGAAAGTTTGCAACCTGAAGGTTCCCACGTAAGGGATGTACTGTACTCTAATATGCCAATATAAGGACCTCTTATACACCTCAATATTTAAAATTAACAATAATTCCTTAATATCATGTAATACTAAAATCTTCTCAAATTTTTTGTTAGTTTGCTTGTTTTTGAGTCGCCCAGGCTAGAGTGCCATGGCATGCTCATGGCCACCCCAGCATAGACCTGCTGGGCTCCAACGATCCTTCTGCCTCAGCATTCCAAGTAGCTGGAACTACAGACACACACGACCTTGCCTGGCTATTTTTTTTTAATTGTAGAGACAAGGTCTCCCCAAGTTCTCCGGGCTGGTCTTGATCCCGCGGGCTCAAGCAATCCACTTGCCTCAGCCTCCTAAAGTGCTGGGATTACAGGCTGAGCCACCGAGTCCGGTCTCAAATGTTCAAAAAAAGTCTTTTTCATGGTTGGTTTATCTGAATCAGGATCCAAACGAGGGCTGCAGCTTGCAGTTGGCTGTTGGGTCGCCTGAGGCTCTTTCAACCTAGAATCGTCCCATCTCCCTGGTGCCAACTTGAAGAAATAGGTCCCAAATTTGGGATCTGTCTGGTGATTTCTTCCTGGTGTCATTTAATGTGTTTCTCTAGCCCCTGTATCTCTCATCAAACGTTCTATGGGCTGTTCTATAGGCGAATTAAATCTACAGGCTCATTTAGACTCACTGATGGCAGGAGTTGCGCAGCCCCACATGGGGACACCTGTGGTCCAGCTGTCCAGCCCCTTCCTGCCAAGAACTTAAGTTAAAACCTAACGAATCTCCCACTTGTTCTCTAGCAAGGAAAGGAGGAGGCTACAGTGTCGTTTGTGTGGCCGCAGGACACTTTCACAACCAGGAGTACTCTCTTGCCATGCTCCTGACGCAGGAGTGCGTGGCACCAGAAATCGCTGCCAGGACCCACCCCGCCCCAGCCTACCAGTCCCGAGAATGATGCCTACCTCGTAGTCTGTCTGTTCTCAGTGAGGACAGGAATGGCTGTCAGCAAGACCTGTTCGAAATTTCTTCTACTAAATTCTTCTACTGAAGGGGTCAGTCTCCAAGAACCGGTGTTAGAAGGAATACTATCTTACTTCCCTCTACAACTTGGACTCTCTGCTTTATTTTGCACGTGCATTAGCCGAAAAACCGGCCGAAGGTGATTTTACTCCACAGGCCCTCGCCCCTAGGAGAAAGGAGATGGGCAGGCCCTCAAGAGCAGGGAGGGGCGAGGAGCTCGACTCCCCGGAGCAGCGGTCCTCCACGCCACAGGTCCCTGTCTCGGGTATGCACAACTCCACCGCTGTCAGCCTCCGCAGCCCTCTCGGATTTCAGCAGAGCTACTGCTGTGTGCAGAGCCTGCCTCCTGGCCGTACAGATACGGGCCTTGTCATTTTTATGGGTAGATAATAGTTGTACAGATCTATGCGGCATGTATATGTGATTTTTTTTCTTTTTAGAAAACAGGATTTACTGAGAGGACAGAAAAGCTCCCACAGTGGGAGGGGACCCAAAGGGTTTGTCCACATGTGATATTTTTATATAAGCATACAATGTGTAATGATTACACCAGGAAACCTAGCATATCCATCACCTCAACACTGATCATTTCTTTGTGTTGGGAACATTCTAAATCTCTCCTGGCTCTTTTGAAACATACAATTATTGTTAACCAGAGTTGCCCTACTGTGCTATCGAACACTAGCTCTTATTCCTTCCATCTAGTCTTCCAAGTGGTCTCTGACAGACTCACAGGTCTGGAAAGACCTCTCAGCATCACTCAGCCAGTTAAACTCACCCTATGACTGGAAGACAGTCCCTGCCAATGGTACGTCAGGTGATATCCTTGCACTGATATCACTGATTCCCAGGGGTCTGAGAACTTGCTTTTGGGCTCAGAGCTGGACAGTAAGCAGATGGGCCAGCAAGCACCAAGGAGCAGGCACCACACGTCACTGCACACTGAATACAGTTGACTGAGAAACCCCTGCCAGCTCCCCCCAAACCCAGCCCAGGCATTGCTCTCCTGGCTTCCCCGGAAGGGCAGCAGAACAGCAGCCTCAAGACAGCACGGGGGCCATCCTTCCAGCAGCCAGGCTGGAGGCCCAAGGGTCGCCCAGATGCCAGGTGTCTGGCTCCCAGGCTCTCAGCACCATGGGTGCCCCCCTGTCCCACTTAGTTCATCCCCTTCCTGGGACTCTGGAGGGGTGAGGTCTCCCTGCCTGCTGCCTCCCCTTCCAGACATCTACACACAAATGACTCACCTGGAAATCTGAACTGGCACTTAAACAAACGGCGAACCACTTGCCATACAAATAAAAAGAGCCACAAAACCGTCCACACTTGTTAAAACCAATTAATCCCAAGTTGTTGATCCTAAATAAGTGTCCAATTCGGAAAACGGTACCTGCTACCCAGAATATCCAACAGCAGCACTGCCCACGCTCAACCTCAGAAGGAAGATTAAGTCGCTCCAGCACACGAACTCAGGGAAGCATCCCGCACTCACAACGCGCTAAAAGGGGCTCTTCCGAAGACAGCCGGCTTTGTCTGTCACCGTCTCTAGCAAACACGGCACCAGATTAAGAAGCTGGGTCTGAGTTTTAAGACCAAAGTTATGTGGGGAAAGAGCAGTCATCTTCCAAAGCAATTAAAACTGAGGTACAAGAAGAGACCTATTTTTGGCCATTAGGGAAAGATGTGAAATTAGATATGAAGACACTGCTGACAGAAAAAACAAAGCTTTTAACAGAAGCCCCAGGCAAAAGTCACCCCTGCAGATATTAGTTGTGAACAGAGTTTTTCCTGTGCAGTCACCTCTGGGTAGCTTGCTCCTGAGTGACCACACAGAACCGTCCGGTACTGACGGATGAGGGCTCTCCTCAACCATGCAGGTGAAGGGGATGACATGCAGCAACGCCCTCAACGTCACGACATCATGCTAGAGAAAGGAAGCAGGCTACAAATCTAAAGCGACAGAGACGATGATTCTCGAAGAAACCACGACCAACTCTCTATCATCAAGAGGAAGAAGAAAAAACCGTGGATGGCCCTACATCACAATAACTAGTCAAAACAAAATGGATTTAATGCCATCTATTCACTTAACTAGATGGAGTCGGCAAGAACACATCTATGAGTGGCATCTAGGGGCATACAGGGTGCTTATGAGCAGTAAGTAACAACACCCGGCTGACAAGATGGCCCCAGGTGACCGCGTGCTGACACGAAGCCTGCTGCCTCCTGGCTCACACCCTTTCCTGCCTCCAGGGTCACTCCTGATTCCACAGGTGGGAGCAGCGAGGCCGGTGGGCTCCGCACCAAGCGAGGGGGGGCCAGTCAGGCGCCGCAGCAGACGAGCCGCGTGGCTTCCGGTGACCAGCGGCTAACCTTGCTCTGTTCTCGCTCACCTTTAACAGTGTGCTTTTCCCCCATCGATGCCTCACCTGTTCCGCTTTTCGCCGTGGTTAGATTGTGGCAATTATTCCAGAAATGACTGAACACAAGAAGAACTTCGCCTGGGCGGCCAGGTCTACAGATGCTTTTCTCCTTTTTTCCCAGTATTTCCCAAATTACCACTAAAGAGCATGCATGTACTGCCTCTGAGTCCAAAGGAGCAGTTATGTAAAGAGAAAACAGATGCTGGGCTCTCAGTGTCTGCAGGATATCAATTCAGCTCCAGGCAGGCCAACATCCCGGCCTCAGCGTCTACCATTGTCTCACCACAGTCTACAAGCCACACACACATCCCTTCTCTTCACACACCCCATCCTTCCAACACACCGGCCTTGGTCTGAAGTCCTTCCCCTCGTCTTCGAGGAGCTGAAAAGCCCTGTGAGCCTCCCAGCTCTCTCTGGCATTCCCTCACAGGGCTCCCTGCTTACCTATGGGGGTGAGGGTAAGGCTGAGGGTCACTGCAGCTGTTCAGTGAAGATACACATCATTCAGCACAGCACTGGACACAACTACCTAGCTCACTGAATGAGTAGACAAAGGGACACAGAACAGGGACAATGTCCTTACCCAAGTCCAATCCATTTGCTAACGTATCAACACCATAACCCTAAAAGAAAAGAAAAAACTCAAGCTCTTCCTAAGACCCTGCTCGTGTGCTGAAACCAAAGGCTTCTTTGCAGGAGAGCAGAGTTCTCTCCCTTGGCACTACCTCCAAAGTGTGGGGACTTCTTAACTAAACCAAGCTTCTCTAAATCACCTTAAAAACACTGATAATGAAGGTTCTTAAGACATAAAAGCAATCAGAACTTGGTAAGGATGTGCTTAGATGAAGAATTAAGACTGGCATAGGATGCCTTGTGTAGACAAACACATAAGGGAACACCTAATCAGCCCAGGCCAATGACAAGGGGTCACTGATACTGGATCAGAAGTGATTATGCTCCAGAAGGTTCTAAGCATATACAGAAAATGAAGTTTATACGCCCTTTAGTTCAGGGAGATGCAGGTGCCCATGAGGTAGAGGCAGCCCCTTAGATCATCCGACCAGCCCTTCCTTTGGAGCCAGTGCGTGCACGTGAGATGTGACTGCTGGGCGTATACTCTCATAACGACCACACAACCCCGGCAACCTCCCGGTGTGAGGTCTTTCCATACATCGGGGCAGTGTCTACAAGCACGTGCAAGGAAGGCCGAAAGGAAGAACTGGGAAGAAGCTGAGTCTGTGCACCAGGAGATCAGAGCAGCCACAACCACCCAGGGCAGCTTGGTGCACATCGGCTGCCCAGCAGCCATCACTGGAAGGACACTGCAAAGCAGCCTCAGAAAAGCACCCTTTGTTGAGCCCTGCTTACAAGAGCCACTAGCCCAGAGTCATACCCAGTGGGGAAAGGAAGAAACCTTATCCCTATGGCCCCAACCCTGATAACCTCATCCTGGAAAGCCAATTCCACATAAACATGGTGTGTTCACATATGATTTCCAGTTAAGAGATGTTGGGATGATTCAAGCAAATGAAAGAACTAACTTTTGACACACGTTAGAGTGAAAGGCAAAGTAGTAAGTGACTGACAAATAATGTGACACAGTCTCAGGCTATCTCCTCCCCAAACAAGTGTGCCCTCCTGGGAGTGACAGACAGCATCGTTTAATCCACTTAACAAGAACACTGAAAAAAGGAATTAAAGAGAAAAACAATACTGCAATATCTACTGGTCAAAGCAAAGCCTTCTGATCTTGACAAGAGTGCTAGGAAGCTGGCAAAGCTGCAGGACGGTCAGATGCCACCTGCAACAAATGGCTGGAGAGCTCCTGCAATGGGAAGAAAGATGGGGGGGCCGGGTCAGGCAGCTGGGACAACTCTTGAGGAAAAGAGTGAAGGGGGTGGCGAGGGGTGGGACTGAAAATATAAGCTCTGATTCCCAGCCACATGGGTGATCCGCTAATGCACCGTAAAGAATGAGCAGAGGGCAACCCTCTTTCGGGTCCTCTCCAGCTGCCAGGGGCTTTCCTATCTTCTAATAAATTCCAACTTACAAAAAAAAGAATGAGCAGAGGACAATCGGGCTGGTAGCATCAGATGAGTTAAGGAACTGGGGTTCTGGAGTCAGCCCTGCCAAAACCTAGACAGATGAACTTTGATAAATGGGCCTCGGTTTGAAATAAAGGGAATGGACTAAACATACCAGTTCCTGTCAAGTCCTAAAATTGCAAGACCCCAGGGAAAGGGCCAGCAGTCACAGAGGCTACAGAGATGGGGAGCAGCCACAGAGGGAATCCTTCCCACACAGGGCAGTGACACTCGTGTGCGGCAAGCACGCCCAAGGCTGGCTACCTCTGCCATCTTGGGGACAGAGCAAAAACCCACCAGTCACTTACTGGCCAATGACCTCCAAGGCCATCAGGTGCCTATGGAAGTCACGGCCACTAATGCCTCTCGAGAGACAGCCGGACTCCCCTCTCCCACGCTGGAACTTGGTACACCTGCAACCAGAGCTCCAACGTCAACACTTTGTAAACAGCAAACGGCCTGCAGAGGTGACCCAGGGTACTCAGGGAAAGTTGCCCTGTGCCTCGTGTTCCGTGTTAACAAGGCGGGAAGTCCACTAAGTACTGGGAAGATTTCCGTTTAAAAAGAAGAAACGACGTTTGGCCCGCAAACATCTCTGAGTTAGACATTTGTTTGCTTAGAAATTCGGGGCTCAGTAAAGCCAGTTCGCGAGGACCATGTGGCGCTCTCCCTGTGGACGGGCTCCTGGGACGAGCAGACTGCGGGAAAGAACGGACCCAGAGCGCCAGGAGGCGGAGTCCCCGGGAGTGCCGTCTACACAAGAAGGCTCACGAAGCTGGCGGGCAGCGGGGAGAGAGGAGCACAAGGACAACGAGGAGGCGGGAGCACATGACACGGAAAAGGAGTTGGGAGCCAGGGTAGGATTTTGCCTCGTGCTGACACACAGCCTCCGGGAATGAGGATCCGAGAACGGGAGACGACGGACAGAAAGCAGCCCAGCAACTGTGAACTGCGAAAGCTCGGTTCTCCCCCTATCCGGCTCTTGCATTTCTGGGATCCTTCCACTTCTGCGGGAGCCTCTTTCTCTGAACGTCCCTTAAATATCATACAGAGGCCAGGCGCGGCGGCACACACCTATAATCCCAGCACTTTGGGAGGCTGAGGTGAGAGGACTGCCTGAGCCCACGGGTTCAAGACCAGCCTGGGCAACTTGGCGAAACCTCGTTTCTACAATAAATCAAAAAACTAACCGGGCATGGTGGTGCGCGTCTGTGGTTCCAGCTACTTGGAAGGCTGAGGCAGAAGGACCGCCTGAGCCCAGCAGGTCAACGCTGAGGTGGTCGGGAGCATGCACACCAGCCTGGGCAACAGAGTCAGACTCCAACTCAGAAAGTATATGTACCATACAGGCTCTGTGAGCTTGGGCGTCAGGCTCCAGCCACACAAGGCCTGCGTCCCCACCCCGGCTCTTTGCAGACGCACACACCTCCACACCCGCCACTGCGGCCCTTCTGCTCCTCCCACCCGCCTTCTAACAGGCTCCCTCCTGAGTCCCCTCAGCAAACGTACATCACCTAAGCTTGTGAATCGTAGTGGGCTGTGTAAATAAAGGGCAGTACATGATACAGCAGGAGACAGAGAAGAAACTGTTTTTCACCAAGGTTGGGGTATTCCCAAGGTACCAGCTTCATAAGGGGAAAACCCTTGAGACGCAGATAAGGTGAAGCCCTGGCCCTCACCTTCGAGTCATAGGCTGACTGCTTGATGACCTCGGGCGCCATCCAGAAAGGGGTGCCCACGAAGGTGTTCCTTTTGATCTGGGTGTCCGTCAGCTGGCCCGCCACGCCAAAGTCAGCCAGTTTCACCTCGCCATGCTCAGACAGCAGGACATTGGCAGCTGCAAGACAGAGCCGAGAGTGCCTCCAACTGACCATGCCATCTGGGACCTATGCATCCTCACCCCGGGCAGAGCAGGAGTTCACAGAGAACAAGCGCCAGAGGCTATGCTCGACCAGATCCTCAAGCCAGCCCTGCCCTGGAAGGTGGTGACGGTGCAGGGCAATCAACGTCCCTCGAGAAGTTCAGTGGAACTCCGCTGCCCTGGGTAATTTTCCAGGATTGAAAACAAGACAAGCTCTTACCTTTGATGTCTCGATGGATTTTCTTCTCCGAGTGGAGGTAATCAAGTCCTTTCAGTATTTCTCTTAATATAGTAGCAATCTGAGTTTCGTCTAAGGGGCCAGGTTCTAACTAACGAGAAAGATAAATTCATAAGGTTAATGATGATCTTGATGTATGTCGTTTGAGACAACAAAACATAGACAATATCCATTTTAAATGGACAATGGCAATTAAAATCTAAAAACATCTTCACTCAATACAGATATTTTGCTAACAAAATCTATTAAGGAACCCAAGAAAATGACTTTGTTGAATGAAACAAAACCAACTAGAAACCAAAGTGGAGCCAAGGAGAAAGCTCCCGGGTCTGCCCTGCCTGGGGCCATACACTGGCAGTGAGGGGCACCCCGCTGACCCACAGCAGGGCCCCTGGGGGGCTCAGTCCAATAAGCAAAGACAAGAGTGGTCAAAAGGAGAAGCCTAGGAGCTGACCTCGGCCACGCCTGCCCTTGTATTAGGATTTTTAAAATCTGTATTTTAAAGTTGCTACTTGGGGGAATGCAGTCGAAAGATCTCAGTTCCTAATAGTTTGCAATTTGTTATTTAATATGTGTTATATAGTAAAACTTATTGCTTATTTGTTATGTCATCTTTAATGAGATTAAAAGTGCCTCTGAAAACTTTTATTCTGAAAAACTCAATGATTACTGACTCCTTAATGTTCAAAATTCTACGGAGGTGGAAGGAAGAAATGTGACATGTGTATGTCCCCATTTACAAGGGAGGAAAACCAGGTTATGAGCTCAGTTCAACCTGGACTGGAAGACCACCATCACCGGCAGAACAGGGAAGCCGCCCTCAGCCAGTCACTGCACAGACTATGTCAGCATCAGTAAAACCCTCTAATGCTCCCTAACAACACAGTATCAGATCTGCCGGAGAGAGGGGTAACGGGGGCTGGTTGCTTCCCTGGACAACGATCCTCTGTAGGACGTTTTCAGAGCCGACAGCGAGCGCTGTCAAAACCCACATTCACTGGTGTAGCCAACAGAAAGACACGATCAGGTGACTTTCACTAAGCTTTAAAAAGACAGATGTGCTTTAAGCCAAAGGGAATGGAAATGGAGACCCTCCTTCTGGTCCCAACGGACCCCCCAGTCCTCCTGTGTGTCTGGGCGCCATCACTGGGACATCCTGTTTGACACCTTGAAAGGTTTGTGGGGCCCAGCGTGGGACAACTGAGATACTCCTCATTGCCTATGCTACAGGCAGCTTGACTCACGACGGCTCTGCTTTCTGGGTCACTTCTGGGCACTGTGCCACCTTTGCCCACAGGCCCAGCCAGGTCTACACTGCAGTCCCCAGAGTCAGAGCGTTCTCAGCAACTGCCTTTCCTCACACACTGGTCTCATTGGGACTCTGGCTAGTCTGGCAGCAGGACATGCCCGGGATCAAACCACTCCATGGCGTTCTCCCACACCCAGGTACATGAGAATGTGCCAGTCGCTTCAGTTTGGCCTCACATCACGTGGTCCACTAACCTGCCAGGAAGTATCCCACACTCTGATTAAGAGACTGCCTAAAAGGCACCTCAGACTTGAGACAGCATGACATGCTCTGTTCCCCAAAGCCTAGTTTTTCCCAAAGTTATCTGACCAAGGGTTTACTTTCAAGAAATACGTACCAAGGCTACAGTTTCAAACAACACAATCTGAAAAACTGCCTTGCTTATTAAGTCTGTTTTCTGCACATCCGTTTTTCAGTGTTCCCAGAATGCAGAAACTGTGATCTTCAAAATGAGTAAAACACACTTTTACCTGGGGAAAAGGGAGAGGAGAGAGGGAGGCCAGAGTGTTTGTTCTCACTCACAACCCAGTAGCACAGGAGGAGAAGCTAGTCAGCCAAAGTCAGTCAGAGCAGCTGCATCGGCTACAGGCCAGCCTCAGGTGTGGCCTGTTAGGAACCAGGCGCACAGCAGGAGGTGAGCAGCGGGCTAACAAGTGGAGCCCATCTGTACCTGCAGCTGCTCCCCATCGCTCACATCACCGCCTGAGCTCTACTCCTGTCAGATCAGCTGCAGCATTAGATTCTCAAAGGAATGCAAACCCTATTGTGAACTGCACAAGCAGTTCCTTATGAGAGTCTCACGCCTGAGGATCTCAGGTATCACTGTCTCCCATCACCCTCAGGTGGGGCTGCCTAGCTGCAGGAAAACAAGCTCGGGGCTCCCACTGATTCTGCATTCTGGTGAGTTGTACATTTCATTATATATGACAATGCAATAATAATAAAGTACACAATAAATGTCATGCACTTGAATCACCCGAAACCATCCCCCCACCCCCAGTCTGTGGAAAAACTGTCTGCCATGAAATCAGCCCCTGGTGCCAAAAAGGCCAAGGACCGCTGAGGTAGAGCATCCTCTCCTGCGGCAAGTCTCTGCCCGAGCGGCTGTGGAGGACCGTGCAGCGAGACATGGGCTGGCCACTCCTCCCTCCCATCATCCAGCCTCTGCGAAGACACAGCAGAGCAGCCGCGAGTCATGACCAAGACGAGATGAAAATAAGCACTGAGGAAACCCAACGGAAAATCTTCCCCGGATAATGCTGCTCTGTGATTAATACCTGTGTGGTTATGTCCTCTTAAATGTGGCCTGAATGCCATCATCACTGATTGACAGACCCATGGGGGAGAGGAGACATACCCTGCTTACTCAGGAGGGAAGACTCCTTCCTGGCATCAAAATTCACTATATAAGGTATTTGGCTGTTCTCTAGCCCCCATTCCTCAGAGTGGATCAGACCAGGTTGAGCGAGCGTTCTCCATCGTTACCGCTTCTAGGCAGTATAAACATGGTGGCCTCCTTTGTTAAGGAGACTCTTCAAACGGGTCGATAAGAAAGAAAGTCAGGAAAAAGAGCTAGCAACATCCCTTCTCTGGGTGACTTCTAATTCCTCCACCCCACACCTGTCCTCCCTGTCTTCCCCTATAACATGGGCCATCAGCTGGGCACACAGCCACAACCAGTGGCACACTTCCCAAGCTCTGGAAAGCCAAGCCGGGGCCATGTGACTGAGTCCTCGTCAAGGGAGCAAATGAGCACATGTGACTCATGCCTCCTCCTGGTCATGGTCTTGAAGCACTGGCAGGTGGAGAGGAAAATGGCTGAAGACCAGGACGTCCTGGGTTACAGACAGTAGAGCCACCCATCCAGTGCAGGTCTCTGTGACCGTGTGGACCACTGACCCATGTGGAGAAGAAAAATCCATTTCTATCTTGTGTGAGACACTTTTGGAGCCACTATGACAGCATCTTGGCCTAAACATTAATGACTATACATCTCATTTTTTAAAAAAACATTTTGAGTCAGGGTTTCACTCTGTTGCCCAGGCTGAAGGGCAATGGCACAGACAAAGTTCTTTGGGGCCTTGACCTCCTGAGCTCAGGCAATCCTTCCACCTTAGCCTCCCAAGTAGCTGGGACTACAGGCATATACCACTGGCCTGGATATTTTTTTTTTTTTGGTAGAGACGAGGTCTTGCTGTGTTGCCCAGGCTGGTCTCAAACTCCTAGGCTCAAGCAATCCACCTGCCTCAGCCTCTCAAAGTGCTGAATTACAGGTGTGAGCCACTGTGCCCGGCCAGTGCATATTCATTTTTAAGTCTCTTGGCCGACTGATGTGGCACAGTTCCTCTGTAATTAGACTCCAAGGCTGTTACCTAGATGCTTCATCAGCTAAAACCTTTCCATCTCAGGGCCTCTGAGGCTAACCCTCACCCAGCTCTCCCATCGCTGCCCTCTGCTGTTTTCCTTCTAGAAAGGAGCCTTCTAACAAATGGCGTTACTGACTGGCCCCCACCTAGGATGCAGCTCCCAGCCAGTGGGATGTTCTGCGGCTTTGTCACTGCAGTACCCCCCAGCACCCGACACACAGCAAGCACATGACACATGTGTTCTGAAAGAAAAATGGTTTCACTCACAATGCTACAAAAATCAAATACATGGTAGTTAGGACGTCTGGAGTCACATGACACTTATTATACTCTTCTAAGCCTTGGTACCCTCAAGGCAGCTGGGACCTGAGAGATTACTGACATAATGGCTTTCAAACTATATTCCAAAGAACCCAGTGTTTCCTCAGTGTAGTCTTGGGAGTCGTACAGACATTTAAATTCAATTTATTATTGAATTTTAAATTTTAAAAAAAAATCAACAGATTGAACACTTAGATATGTGCATTCAAAATAAAATGTATGCCTATTTTATATTCATGGCTCTTAATAATACAGTGTCTTTATTCTCCACACTAGATCCTAAATTTGCATTTTTAAAAGTCAAAAGGGATGCAGCATCAGGAAAGAAAGAGGACTCCTAATGGCCATACCCTCTGCCAGCATCAGCTGACCCTCTGCCAGCCAAGGAGATGCCAGGCCCCAACCATCCAGTTAGTCCATTGGACGAAGTCTCAGCAGTTCCCCAGAGCAGACCTGGTTAATCCCACACTTGAAGTCATAAAGCCTTTCGGCTGCACGTTCACTTTGATACTGAGGGCCATGTTGCTCAAGATCTGCCCAATTTCCAACCTGGCAGTCACTTTCCCCTTCTAGGTGCACCCTACCTCACACCTGTAAGAAGGATCTCATCTTCGGTTCTCCACAGCTCTGACACGTGCTCGCACCTCAAGAGGACCCAGGCGTACAGATATGGGAAAGAAGAAAGGGCTGTGGCACTGGGTGGCTCCTGCCTACCTCAAAACACCCGCATCCCATGACTGAAGTATGACCTCTTCTTTGAGGGGCCGAGGGCAAGCCAAAAGAAAAGGGGTAAAAGACTCGGAGAAAGAGACTCGAGGTCGGAGAGGACGGAGGGCAGAGTGGAGTCAACAGAGGCCACAGGCTCTGAGCTGGCACGGTCAGGGTCAAGGTCCCGCTCTATGTGCTAGCCGGCACCCCCAGCTTCCGAGGGTCTCTGTTCCCTTGCTGATGAGATGGTCAGTGACATTCACAAAGAAATGCCTGTCTTGTCACCAGCACTGTCAATGTAGAAGGTAGATGGTGGTTTGCTAGGATTCTCACATCACATGGGAACTTTGTCAGTAGAGAGTTCTGTGCCTCTATCCCCCCAATGTCAATTTCACAGACTGTAATTCAAAGAAATCCAAAGAAAGTCATAAGTAAATAAATTAAAGTACTGTAGCGTTAAGAATGAACACACTAAAGCATTTAGGGACTGGGAATGCTGTTCTGAAGAACTCAATGTCAGAATAAAGAGTCCCTGTAAACAACTTTGTATATGTCACAAGTGAAATTCACTTAAGATAATAGTAAATCTAATTACACAAAATGAGGTAATTTTCTACATTCAAGTAGTATTCCCAAAAAGAGTGAAAAATGGAAAGCTTTTAATGTAATGTAAATATTTATGGATAGGAACCAAAGCAAGACATAAAATTTCTCCAGCTATTTTATTATTCTTCCCTTTTAAATATACTATATTAATTTTTTGTTGAAAGTTTCCTTTTTAATACCATCATGATCACTTGTTTTATGGTTTATAACAGAATATAACTTGGTAATTGGGTACATTAGCCCTTAGGTATACACATAAGTTTTACCGTCCCCCAAAACTATCAACTGCTCATATTACTGTGAGAAGGAAGTTTCCTCGTGAAGGGAATTCCTTTTCTTGATGAATAAAATCTATGTAGACTGTAAAACCATCACCTGACAACTTTGTCACCACCTACCTGATGACTTTCTGTCACATGAGACCCACCCTCTTGGTGAAATAACAGGTTTGGCCTGCCCGGGGATTCACCCCTCACCTAGAAGCCCAGTGTTTGCAGGAGGGGCTGAGTGCTGATCACACTGGCTTCACTGCACAACCGCAGTGGGAAGGAGACAGCAAGTGCCACACAGCTGTGTGAGTTCTTCAAAGAAAAAAGCTTTTGTACAAACTGTACTTCAAGGATAACTTAGGCTGCGCTTGTGACAGATGCTGGTTGTGTGTGTGCATTCCAGCCAAGCCCGACAGGAAGCCACGGTTCACAAGCGGAGTGAATCACAGGCTGGGACTGAGCAGCTCCCCCTCCCTGGGCTTCCACACGGTCTTATGTGTGGACGGAGGCCGCTGATGGCACTCAGGGGTCCAGAGGAGGCCACACTGGCTCAGGCCAACCTCACCTCCAGGAACCAGGAGGCTAGCAGGTAGTGGAAGCGTGTGCCCTCCCCTGGCCTGACCACTGCTCTCACATCCAACGTCTGGCCTCAATAATCACACCCTGTCTCTTACTTCCACAATGAAAATATCATGCGCTTATTTTGGAGCTAAGATACCATCTGAAATATGAAACAATGATGGGGCAAAGGGAGTAAAACCGGTTTTAGAAAATAAGCTGCTCTTAGGTGAGATAACTCCAGGCAAAGCCCTCCACTGCTTCCATGAATGAGTTCACTGGTGACTTTCTATCAAACCTACCCATTTCTGTTTCCCATGGAACAAAATAATGGTTTCGAAAGTAGACTGATAATTTTTAGTAATATGTAAGAAGCAAAAGCACATAAGGAATAGTTTGGTTCCTTTTTCGAGCAACTTGAAAGAAGGAACCAGAAAGGGATACATTCAGAATTTTCCTTAAAACCAAGGTTTACTGAGAAAAGCTCTGATGCGCACACTGTATCTGACATGATACTTACTAGATCTAGTGCAGAGCCGCCACCAAGGTATTCCATTATTATCCATAATTTTGTATCCTATAAAACAGAAAAGGAAAGAGCTATTTTAAAAACACAACTAGAAAAATGTATTTTAAAGAGCCCAAGGTTATTTTTCGCTATTATTTTAGACCGAGAAAGTTTTATGAACACACATCAGCAAGGGAAGGGAGTCATGCTGAGAACTGCGCAGCTCCCCGCTATCCCCTCAGAGTGCATGAGACCCCCCACAATTATCTGGGAGGGAGCCATGGGTGTTGTAGGTGGGGTCAGGACCGAACTCCTCTAGAGAGCATGTAGCTACTGACCCAGGATCTTGAAAAGGGGACCAAGGGCGTTTCCATTTCCAAGCCACCTCACTATGCACCCTCAGGCCCAGAAAGAGCTGAGAACCTGAAGCCAGTCAAGGCAGCAGCGACAAGACCCCTCGCTGCTCCCTTCTGCAGCACTGAGCACCTGTGCCTCCAGGTCCTGTGAGTAGAGGGAACCCTCAACGTGGCCCCTGGCTCATTCATTTGTCTTGCAGACAGGGAGCCGGTTTCTGACGTCTCCAAAAGCTGCTATTCTCTTCCCCTTCAGGGAGCTTTCCAGAATGGCAGGCCCAGCCTAACACTCATGTCTGTGGCCTCTCAGCCCTGGTCTCCACAGTGCCCGGCTATGCATCTTTTTCCATGGTCTCTCTCGAAGCTACTCAGCCCTTGTGACTTCCCAACACAAATTCCAAAGCACTACTTCCTTGAAAACAAGCCCACAAACTTCTCACACCTTCCTGCAGGAAGGTAGGCAGGAGGCAGGTTATGGGGCCGTGGGGTGAACCCGGGGAGGATTTGGATCGCGCCTCCCCTTCACCACCTTAAGGGCCTGGGCTGTTATTGTTCTCTGGGAGCTTCGGACTGAGTGCCCAACCCACCAATGGCAAGCAGCCAGGACCCCATTGCTAGTCACTGCCAGTGTCCTGGAGTCAGCAGGGTTTCTACATCAGCACTTGATGGCAGCTTCTGTTTGTGTAAAGGGAAAAAAAAACTTAGCTGTGCCCGGAGGCCTCCTGAACACCTTCTTAGGGAATGCATCCTAATTTCCAGGCCAGGAAATCTCTTGACCTGCCCCCTACCCACATCCTGAGAAGCTTGACTTGCCCATCTATTGCTCTGACTCTCATTTCAGATTTCCTTCTCTGTATTTTCCACTTAATAGCAAACCAAAGTGCCTAGGGACAATGCCCGACATGCTCAAGCCCAGGAAATGTGAATGGTGGCCCTCCGTGACCAAGGAAGGGTAACTTATGTTCACTGCATGTTCACTTTAGGGGGACAATGATGTACACCCTGCATTTGTAAATAAATTCCTTTTCAAAGAAGTAAACTAAATTCTGCCACCTGTAGTTAATTGCAAAATAGTCCAAATCAACCGTCCAAGTTTCAACGTGCGTCGAATATTTTCTCAAGTTTGTGAATGCCCTTGACTCTAATGCAATAAAGGCAATTTCTCGACTGGAAAAGGCATGGAGGCCTCAAATGACAGGCTTGAGCCAACCTTACAGATTCAAGCATCACTGGCTCAGTAACCAATCAGCAGTGGCACCTGCCTTGAAAAGGCACCCTCATCCGCGGGCTCTGGCTTCAAGAAAACGTGCCCTCATAGAGTATTCCTCGACACTCCTTCCATTTCACAACTCTGCTCAGATGCAGATTTCCATGCTATCTGCTAACTGGTGTCTGAGTTGCTCTCTCCAGGCATTCCATAGTCAACTCCTCCAGGGAAAGCCCCGGCAGCTTTCTAGACGACACAGGAAATAGAGATCGCTTTTCTCGAAGAGGACTGGCCGACTTTCACCTTTCTCCTCCCACTCCCACTTCCTATGGCTACTGTTTGACTCAGCTCCCAGCCCTTCTGTGTTCTGGGCATGGCGTCTGCTAACAGCAGAAAGTCAGTGTCCCTGACCTCCCCCGCCTCCCACCCCAGCTAGCTGTGCAATATGACACCCTGGGAAACAACTTTTTGCTGACTTAGGGACTGAGTGTCACCAGGCAGCTTCCTGAAGCAGCAAGACCAAGTGGCTGCCCCTCGCCCATCGCACGTCCAAAGCTCCACCCTCCTAGGACACTTGGCCGCTGCTCCCCTCCTAAACCTAGCCACCCGGGCGGGTCACCACCCACCTGCCCAGGAAACCAACAACCCTCAGCCAGGCGACGTTTGCCTTTCGTCCAGGATCCCTCGCCGGACACACTGACTAATTTTTCTGCATCATCCTAATCCTTCTGGGACGCGTCAGCAGCAGCAGGGCAACTTCGAGCTCCCCACTCAAAGGCGAACGCCCCATCCTTTCACGGCCAAGTCTCCACTTTCCTGGAGAGCAAGATGGAGGAAAGGGACAGCCCCGCCCTTCTCGGCAGCTGAACCCCAGGGGCAGGCACGCTGCACAGGAACGCCACCAGACCCAAGGCCCACCAGGCCCAAGGGCACTCAGGACACGGGCTTCCATTCCGTTGACAGCCAGGACACTGCCTCTCAAACACGCAGGCTAGGCCTGTGACTCACACACACAGCGTCCTTGCCTCACAGCACTGGGGAAGGGACGCTGCACCGTGAAACGCCCCACTCTCACGGAACCTGCTGCTCCACCCCGTGGGCGTGCGACCGCGCCAGCCATGGAAGGTTCGCCCAGGAGACTGGATGCAGCTCTCCAGGCACCGGCAGGGCTGGAGCACCGCCACGTGTCCCGTGCTCTCCACCTCTGCTCCTCAGGCACCAGCCACTAGAGTGACGCCGAAGACTAAAGGGCAGTGGCTTCTCCTGCCTCCTCCTTCCTCTCCCACACGGAAAGGGGGGAGAGCGAAGGAGGGGCAGGGCGGACAGCGACCAGAAGGACAGCGACAGAGAAGGGCCCATCTTGCAGCCCAGGCTTAATGTCGCCGTGAGGGTTCCCTTACAAGCAGTGGGAAGTCACGGAAGGGAACAGGACAGACAGTGTTCTTCAACCTTGTTTGTCCTCCTGCCTCAGGGAGAGAGGCGCATGCCACCTCCCCCAGGGCATGCTCGTGGGGCTCACCCCCTCCTTCTCCTGCCTCTCACTGCCTCTAATCTGTGTCCCGAGGTCCCAGGAGCCCTAAAGCTATGGGTTCTGCTTTGCTCCTCCCCTTCCTGGCCGGAATTCCCAAATCCTAACCCCTGCTGCTGGTTTCCTCTTTCCTGCTGGAAGAAAAGGGTGCTGAGAATAAACCTTCCTGCTCCACCATGCAGATCAGGACAGAGAAGCTCTGGACATTATGAAAAAGTGGGGCAGAAGGAAGGGCGGATCACCTTAGAACCTTCTGGTGCCCACAACCTGGGCTGCACCAGCACCACACACCTAGAGCACCGCACCTCTAAGACAGGACCATCTCCAGTCAACAGACACCAGAAGAGGCCCCTGAGCTCTGCTGTCAGTCATGACCCCAAAGCATCATTCCTACCAGCACCAACCCCAAATAGGACCTCCCCATCGGCCACATCATGGGTTCTCAACCTCAGCCGGATTTTGGGGGCTGGTCAATTCTTTCTTGCGGGGGCTGCTGCAAGCACTGCAGTGCCCCTGCATCTATCTACCTGCCATGACCCCTAGGAGCCAAAGTTGCTCGCAACTGGGAATCCGTAAGTTCACCTAGGACCAATGTTGACAGGCTGAAGTCATTCCAGGACCAGAAATGCTCCCAGTAATCCTCACCTTGTCCTTGGCACACATGAAACTCCAGGGGGAAGCCGATCGCAAATTCCCTGGGAGGCATCAGGCAAGTGGCTCACACCCGCTAAGCTCTGGGCTCCTTGCCATCACAAGATGGGCGTAAGACCCGTGCTTTCCGTCTCACTGTGCAAGTGACAATAAAATAAGACTCATGTATGTGAATGCACTTCACAAGGTTCAAGGTCCTAAGTAGAAGCAAAGTACTATCAGTTTTATGAACGTCACCTCCCATAAATGCCTGGAAATAACCCGGTAGGCCCAAAGCAGCCCAATTAACACAACTAAATACTTTCTGACCAAAATGGAATCTGGAGCAAAGATTCATGCACCCTGCACTAGAGGCCCCAAGGCAAGAGCCTGAGTGGCCTGGCCAGGCCTGTGATCCAGGAAGGGCCAGACTCTGTCACTGTCAGATGCAGAACCACTATCCTCACAAAACCTTCCAAATCACAACTTGTGCGGCACTGATTCCCCAAGAAAAATAAATCAGCAGGCTTCTCAAAACAAAGATGATTTTAATCTGAATAATGTTTTCTAATGACCTCAAACAACCTACAACTTACAAATGACCTTGTGATAAATAAGTTTAATACATTCAGGAGTCAAAGTGTAAAAGGTACCAAAATAAATATATGGGGGGGGACCCAAAAGAACCTGGAATTTATTTATTAAAAAAATGTATTTATTTTACATGTTTAAATTTCCATCATCTTCAAAGTACTCTGATTCACTACACCTAGCAGGGCAGTTTTTGAACTCATCGATTTTGATGCCTTTTGATGCGTTTTTTTGGTTTCATCTCTTATACATCATCAAAATGTTTCCCTTTGAGGACTTTCTCCGCTGAGGAATTTAAAAAAAAAGTGGATGAATAGGGAGGGTGAGGCATGGGGGTCATGCCATGTTTGGTCAAAAACTGCTGAACATTCAGCACGCTGTGGTAAAGTGTGTTTGTAAATCACCCATCGTGAAATGGGCAAACAGGCATGTTGCAAGAATCTCCAACAAAATTTCACTGAAGCCCGCTGCAGCCTCTCACAACAACACTAGCTGGTACACTGATGCCAATGGGGTCCTAGAACATAGCGGTGAAAGCCTGTACTGCAAGGGGCCCTCCCTCCAAAAAATAATTCTGGCTTTTTGGGTGAAAAGTCTCATACAGTGAAAAGTCTCCCTCCCACTCTTGACCCCCATGACTCAGCCAACCACCCTCTTCCTGCCCCAACAAGTTATAACATTGTATGTAACCTCAGAGAGATATGTGACACATATACAAGCGAATACCTATAAAAAGTTCCCCTTTTGCCCACAGGGTAGC